CAGTATGGCTTTGTATCTCTGCCAAATCAGATTGTCAGATGGCCAGATGGCACCCAGCGTCGTATACACAAAATTTACCTCAGTATTGTCACTTAATGCTGAAGAAGGGTGGCGAATAGCGTTCTCGTCGAGGCGATCGACCGACGACGCCGTATAGGCGCCGACACCTTTTCAGGGGCGGAGTACGAATTTGGTTCAAGGCAGGAGAGTATGCAGCCGCGCCGTCCACGCAGTAGCTTTGATTGAGGTATTATGCCCCGGATGTCTTTGAGCGACAGACTATGGATCTCAGCTGGTGGCTATTGCTGCTTGATTAGCTGGCCAATGCGTACTCATTCACATATAGGTCGCAAGACGGGCTCACACTATATGCTGTCTCAGATGGGATCATGGCTGTCTTCGGCTTTGACTCCTCCAAGATAGAAGGTATCGCGCCCTCGTCTGCTCAAGAACAATCACTCAAACGCTTCGGTTTCGTCCCGCTGCCCATTCCCGAGGGCTACTCACATCTTGCCTCCCTCCAGGGGCAGAAAGCACAGCAGGACAACCGCGTCACACCGCCTGCCACCCAAATTTCTGGTGTTAGACAGATGCGAAACCCAACTACGCCATCGACCCTTATCAAGGGTAGCCCAGTCAGTTGGTATGTCCCATTTTTGGAAGTGAAATATCCCGAGCCACCGCCACTGTTCTTGTTCTTGTTGACGTTACGTTGACCTATGGACTTGATCGTGGTCCTAACTTCACAGCGTCTCATCTTCTGGCTCTCGTCTACGTCGTTCCAGAGAGTGGGACAGCTGAAGGCCTCATCTCAGGGTACGTATACGGAATACTGCATGTCTGGTTGGAGTTGACTAGTAGCACTGAGCGCGAGCGACGTCGCTTGAGGTTACTAGTTGAATGCAGTAGACTCGGAGAAGCCAGCAGAACCCGGTGGATGCCCTCGGACACATACTAAAACTTGCCTTACTAGCTAAAGGAGCGATAACTTTGGCCCCGTGCGGGTTGACACTGCGTTTCCCGCGTCTCCCTCTAGTCGGTAGTGCTGGTCTACAACTTCTTACCACGCGGGTGGCGCCAGCGCAGCCTCATACCAGCATACTCACGAGCGAAATCTGTGGCACGGGTGTGTCAAGATATGGCGCGAACTTCTCAAGCCCACAAGGGCATCGGCGCAACTGTTCATGGACAGCACCAAGTCGGAGTATGGATACAATATAAAGGGTTTCGAGCACGCACTCTTCAGACCACTAGGTTGCAATCTGCTCGTTCCAACCTGACGGCTAGTATCGTCGACGAGTTTCTCGCCGACTTGGAGGCCTTAACATTGACCATTACCGGTGTCACAATGGTTGACGTGAGAATCGTGTGTGGGGGACTGGACAGATTCGCGCACAATACGGCCTCAACCACGTACGTATGTCACGCGGTGTCCCTACTGCGGCTTCGTATCCCGCAACACACTCACTCTCGCATGCTCACAGGGGCTCCGCTTCTACGCAGCAATCAAATATCTCATAAAACGCGCCGGGTCTCTGTTTCGTGATAGAATGTCAGAGCGCTGAATGTGAGTTCCGACAGTCCTTAGCCGTCCTGATTCTCATCGAACCACATAGAGCGCGCGTATGGTATACCGAAAAGTGCATATCCATTCTGCTTGTCTACCTCTCGAGTAAACGATCTGACGGTGACTCTTCCAGCGGCTCACCCATCGAGATCGATAATCTGCCGTTGGAAGGTCCACCCCAACCGCTTGCAGCGATGCCGTCTAGCTCGCAACCGGCCTCGGGCTCACGGGCTAATGCATCAAGCACTTCTTCTGATCTGCGACTACCCGCTACCTCGTCTAGTCTCTCAACTTCTTCCCGCAAAGACCCGCCAACTCATCGGTCCCCTACCTGTGCCGCAAAGCTATCCTGGCGTTCATCTGCCTGTTTCAGCGTTACCCCACCAAATGTCGACGCTCAAGCCGCTATTACCAGCTGCCCAAACTGTCCACAATGCCGCTCATGGGCCACTGCATTTTCCGATACCAAATTTGTCCCCCATTTCCATTTCTCCAGGAGGCAGGGATTCCGCCGGGCACCTGAGATCGAATGTGTTTGCCAATGAAACCCAAGGTGCAGAGGTGCGTTCTCATTGTGTTGGCGTTGCCTATGTAGCGTACAAGAGACTCTGTTCCAGACGGACACACCCATGTTACCCGTCGGCATTCCTTCGGCTCCCCCTCGAGCCACACAGTCGTCGCCGCCCCTCGCGATGCCCCTGGTCCATCTGACTCCAGGCGTCTGCGCTCGCCTGAAAGACTTCACGGACGCCGATGTCCTTTCCACTTGCCCAGTACTCAGAGTGCTCGTGCTGCGTTCCGCGGATTCGGCCCAAGGTGGCACGGCGGCAAAGTCGCATGAAGCCTTTGTGACTGATGGTCAAGGATACGCATGGCTCGCATTGACTTCCTCCGCGACGGCGCGCATCGGTGACAGAAATGACCGGAGAAGTGTACAAGTGGGCTCTGCAGTGAGGCTCAAGAAGATGAGAACGCTCCCTACCGGCGACCTTGGCATCAGACATCACATCTACCGCTCACCATCTCTTCCTATCCTCGTCGACAGTTTTGAAGTAGCTGATAACTTCGGTGACGGAAGACTGGCGGCGCTCTCCCCAGGCAATTCGGCGATCAGACCGGAGGAATTCTTGTCACCCGGTTTTGCGTTGCACATGACGCCATCCCCGCAACCCGTCAGTGACCCACCTCCAGGCGAGCTTCCCTGTCACTGTTTAGGGTGGTTGATATGCGACACCACACTAACATACACGGTGTCCTTTTTTCAGGGGGCATCTCTATCCATGAGCGTGCCGCGCGGCTATTGGCCGATGCAAAATTTCGGGAAGAGAGAAGGAGACGTCTTGCGCTCGAACGCGCTCTTGCCGACGTATGCAGCGATCTCCATCGGCTGGAATCCTTGGTTCCGGCAACTATGGAGGCGTTGAGGGAAATAGATGAGTTGACGAGTGCGGTCATGTCTATTGATTGAAGCTCAAGCGCGTGCGACTACGATACCTGGGCACGTATCCAGATTCGTTCCTGACCCGTTACATGAGATCGTGTAACTCTTCGTACCGATCCATTTCCTCGAGCTCAATTAATAGTTAGACACGTCTGCAGTCAGGCGCTCATTTATTACCCGTTCTAGCAGTTTTCCCTCGCCCAGAAGCTTTGTACATATTTGCCAAACCGGTCTTGGTAGCTGCAACACCGGACATTGACTTCGCTCCTTCAACTCTGGCAGATGCTGTGAACGTACCAATTATTCCCTTTTGGAGACAGCATCCGCACAGCCATCCAACCATGATCGTTCGAGATGTCTGTTCCAGACCACAGAAGCTTCCTCGCCATGTCTCTGACCCTATATGGGCTCTTGCATATATGCCGACCACAGCGGGTCCTGCCGGCGTGAGTCCAATTTGCTGTTAGTGTCGCAGATGACCACATCTACTCTTGCTACCGCTGCCAAGTATTATAATCGTCCAACGCGATGATGCTACACACCCCTTCAATGCCTCCCATTCTTGCCAGCGCTATTAGTCTCCTGGACACAAGTAATCAAAGCCAGGCGAGCGCAGGGATATAAGCGCTTCAAGGACGTTTTGCTCAACGCTGCAGTTCATTTCCGCGACAGATATCTCGTTACAACGACTGCGTTTCAGGAGCGCCTGTCCGGCGTCCTAGGCTGATAGGAAGAGACAGGATATCGACGCCGGCGAAACGTTCCGGCCTTCGAGATCTTCGTCTTTCCGAAATGCCATTACCCTGCGAGCCTGTTTTGCTGATTTCGCCACCGATCCTCGCATGAAGCTCATGTTTGAGCCGTAACGCCAAGCCGGCCTTCAAGCTAAATGATGGACCCACAAACTCCGCTTCGTTGGCAGCTGCCAGAACACCACCTGGCGTCTGAAATCATCGGGATATTCGACCTCTGACGCGTTGACACTACATCCTATCGGCAAAGGGACATGAGGATATACACACATAGTGAGCTGTTTCCGTGTGATTTTACTCCGTTTTGTGTGGTTCACGTTCGCTGTCTTGACTTAGGCGCGCGCCTCGTGTCAAGACAGACTATTTTTCGAATTCCCCGCCACCCGAGTCAACGACACGCAAGCCAAGGAGCACATGACAGGGTTTAGAAGCCGGTTGATGCTCAATGTTGCGTCCGTATCTATGAATAATCTGATCTCTGCGCTAACCCCTAGCGCGGCAGGATAATCAGCTTCACGAAGCTACTGAACGGCATTATGACGGACCTTCATACGGAAGGTTCCTGTTTCCGAACCTCAATACCGGAGCGCTCTATTCGAGTTGACAGAAGTCCCGTCACAGTATGCAGTATGTCGTCTCCTTCCCTGTACTAATGACGCGTTGTTTTGACTATCTGTTCATCGTCTCCGGTTCAGATGATCGGAGGCGCCGTCGAAGCGAAAGCTAGTCATATCTTGAACATTGCTACAAGCAGAGTGTTCAGACGGGACGATGCGTCAGGATGTCCTTATGGATTTAATCAGGCATGTGGACCGAATGCTCCTTTGGCCGACGGGATACGCGCTCTGGATGCTCGTCGCCCCCCGAGTCCTGGCGCCCCGTGAAGTATCTCGTTCGCGTCAGGTTCGTGGGCCCGCTTTTGGACGTTGCGTGAGGCTTCCTAACCACAATGCTAAGTATCGCTCCAGCCCGGGCCCCCAAACCACCAACTTATTGACGCCACAGGCGAGTGCTCAGCGTCCAAAGATGTTCTGTTGTTCTCACAGACGGTCAACGACCAGGCCACTTACGCGAATGGATGGAGCATAGCCCAAGGAGGGTTTCGCGCTCGCAAGTCGGCGGAGATCCAGCAGGATACACGCCACGGTCCACCTGCTCAGTGTTTCCTACCCGTCGTTGCGCCCGCGCGGTTCAGGTGTCTGTCAGCGACGGAGGGTGTGCTGGAGTCCGTGCATAAATACACCAGCTATGCGAGACGAGGAGGGCATCCCACGACAACATCCCCATTCCACTGTGCGAACATGGCCCCCATCGAACTGACTCCTGCTGTCTGTGATCGCCTCCGCGACTCCATCGACTATCTCGTCTTGGTCTCCCGGCCTATCGTGAGGGTGGATGAGCTGGACGAGCTTGAAGACCGCGACATATGCGGCTTCACGGCTCGGTACCGCATCAAGATCGTCGACGGCTCCGGCGACGTTCTCCAAGTCGTCCTCCCCGCCAATGTTGAGCTGGGCGAGGGGTCTGCCCCCCTTGGTAGCAGCCTCCGAGCGGGCTCGATTCTACACATCAACCAGATGCTCCGCCTTCCGCACGGGAGGGAGCAGTACGTCTCTTCATCGCTGTCAATTCGCATCATCATGAGACTCATGCCTCGACCTTAATAGCATCATACTCATCCACAGCGGCGAGATTGTCACCGAGAACCACGAGCTCATGATGAGCGACTTGGAGAAATTGCTCCTACGTACGTCCCATCCGCTTGCATGTACACCACCCATTATGCGACCCTGACCGCTCTTCTTCGTGCATCCACTGTAGAAGCCCTCAACGAGACGACCTTCAAAGAGCTCCTGGTCCAGAAAGGCCTGTCCCAGGAGATGGTCGATACCTTTTTCGCCCTGCTGTCGCAGATCGAGGAAGTCACGCGCGAGGCCGCGGCGAGCCGCTCGCCCAGTGTCGGGCCTGTGGGCGCAATGAGTCCGACCCATTGAGCTACTAAGGCAGGTGTGCGTCATGCTCAATGCAGCCGTGAAAGAATGACTGACGAGCAGCCAACAGTCGGCAAGACACGAGGATTTCGCGGAAGGACATGACTCGCGAGCTCTTTTCATCGAATCTTGGATGACCATGTCCGAGACGTCTTGGGTATCGCTACACAGACACGATAGATTGTTGTAAGAGTCTGTATAAGTATGTGTATGTGGTATGGATGGCTTCCCGACATAATCTTCCACGAGCAGATGTGAAGAGACTAAGCCAAAGGCTGCATTACGGGGTTCACTATACAGACGCTTGGCAAGCTATGGCCAAACACAACACAACAGCGCAACAACGGCCTGGAGGTCATACTGCTCAGTCATTCGAGCTCAGCCTGGGCGACATGAAGAATAGCATGAAACGATACAACGTATGCGGTCTACAACACTGAATAACCTTCGTAAGCAGATAAGTAGCGTATACGAATATGCAAGGGAATCATCGATGCAAGTCTATGGTAATAATGCAGTGCGTGGTTACTCGAGCACGATTAGCATGATCATGAGTATTGAAAAGTCCGACGAAACTCAAGGAGGCAACAACCTCTCCTTTTCTGTAACAGTCTTGATCCATATCTCCCCGGGACGACTACAAGGCAAAAACATCAGCTATCCGTCGCGCATCGACTACGATGCACATCGGCGTACCTCCTCTCCCTCATAATCCGGAACACGCTCCTCCTCTCCTCCATCCGCGCCTCACGCTCCGGACTCACGCTCAAGCTCGGGTTGGCGCCAATAGCTCGAGTGGGGAACGCGCCGCGGCACCTGTCCTGCAAGTCCGCGAGGCCCTCGTTCGTGCCCTCGGCCTCGACGACGACAGTGCCGTACCAACCGGGGTCGATGAACCAAGCGCCGCCTGGACCGGGACCTGGTCCGATGCTCTTCGGAACCGAAATACGAAGCGGCTTGCCGCTCGGCGGGGGGCGGACGGTGAACGAAGAGCGATGCACCCACCGTACGACCACGTGGTGTCCGCCCTGTGGCCTACGAGCGCAAATCATCGTCAGAACACTGTCGGGCGGAAGGAAAGAAATCTGCGTACGTCTCGGTCTTCATCCTGTCCTGCAGCAGCTGGAGGTTCGTCGCGACCTCTTCGCCCCACGGCGAAATGTCGATATGGCAAATAGGGTTGCCACTTCCCATCGTGCGAATCACCCGGTGGAAGTATGAAGGCGGGAACGCGAGCGTCGGCAGGTACTTCGGCAGGTCGCCCGAACGCGAGTACGTGTAATCCAGGTCCTACGTGGCGCGCCCTCAGCATTCAGGAAGCGCATATAATGACAAGAGCGGGGTGCACTCACGATGAGATAGCTCCCGTCCCACACCAGCCGCCCCATGTTCCCTTCGTCGCCAACCGCTGTGTCCCACACGACGTCACCCGGGCGCAGTAGGTGCAGCACCCCAGCACGCTTCAGTTCCTGTTCGCACTCTAGCACGCTGGCGTCCGACAGCCACTCGCCTTCCGGCGAAGGGACGAACACCTGCAACAAGGGCGCCCTCCGCAAGCGGAACAAAGGAGACTGGAACGTTCCCGTTCCATTCCCCTGTCCAGAGCCGTGGAACTGCGCGACACTCGGACTGTGATGGAGGGCCTGTCCAGCTTGTGAGCCGTTGCGCGAATGGCCGGGGTGGCCGTGATGAGAGCGGCTGAACATCGACGTCGGAGAGGGCGCGCGACTGGAACCCCTCGAGAAGCTCCTCTTCTGCACGCCTTGCGGTATGTGGTTCACGGACGTCGTCGAGCCTCCCCATCCACGGCCCGGACTGCGAGCCCTGTCGCGCGCCACAGCGGAGGCAGCGCGCGCCTCGGTTTCTGCTTGAGCGCGGAGGCGGAGCACAACACGTGTGAACGACCTGCAGGCAGCTGCAAGTGTCCTCGTCCACTCCCATTCCCTACGTCCCTTGAGTTGCAGGTACGTCTCCGCGAAGCGTGAGTACTGGTGCGCTGGGATTGAGATGCCGTGCATGTAGGCGTTCAAGTCCTACGGTTCCATGCACAACGGGCGTCAGCGCTGACTACGTCTATTTGTGATCAGAATGTTTACCGTCAAGGTGAGCGCGAGCGGCTCGCTCTCAGGAAACGCCCAGCGCCCATACCCCACGACACGCAGGTATCTCTCCAGTACGCGCTCAGTGAGCTCTCGATCCTCGTACAATGTGGTCCGAATGAGTTTACAGACGCTCGAGAGCGCAAGCCAGTCTCCGAAGGAAAGGTATCCGAGCAGCGTCCCAAAGAGCGCCGGCTCCGCGACGTGCTTTTCGAGTGGATAGTAAGTGGGCTCCTTCAGGTCTTCTGGTTCCGGATCCGCGGCAGCAACAACGTTCTCGATGCCCTCGGGACGTTCTTTCTCTAGTGCCTTGCCTCGGCGTCGGGAGCGCGCCTGCGCATAGTCCTCTGGAGAATCCGGATCCCGAGGTCGCTCGGGGTCTGCCGCCTTCTGTGGAGTGCTCGCCGCGAGATCCTCTGTGTGTCTCTTTGGTGGGGTCGCGGGAGGAGGCGGCGGCGCTCCGTTGGTGCTTCCGCTACTCGACGCCTGGAGGACGATTGGCTCGTCGGGTGGAGTCTGGGGCGATGACAGCTGCTTGGTACGCAGAGGAGGACTCCTGATAGGCACGGGATGCTCGTGCCGGCGCTGCGCCCCGTGCACCCCATTGGAAGCGTTCACGGGCACGCCCTTCGTGGCGCTAAGTTTCTCCATCTGGCGCTCGGTGAGCACTTTAACAGGCCGAGTAGGTACAGCTGACTCCGAGGAGATGACCCGCGAAGGGGGCGACCGCGACGACTCACTGCGCTGCCTGTCGACAGCGGCCTTCTCGGTACGTGTCTGGAATGGCGAGCCGAGACTTGCCGTTGAAGATGCAGCAGGCACCGCGCCATTGGAAGAAGCACGGGTAGGCTTGGGAACAGCCCGTGACGGTCCCTCGCGGGTGCGGAGAGGAGGTGCGTCGTCGACGGGGGTGGGAGGCTTCGCGCCCAGCGTGCTGGGAGTGTGGTGGCCATTGGAGTCGGGTTGGGATTGAGGCTGAGGTTGAGGTTGCGCCTGCAGGGGCGACCCGTGATGCGACCCGTCCATCATCCTAGTCACGCGCGACCTGGATTTGCTCAACTTGCGTAGACGAGGAGAGTGCGTTTCTGGTGGCGTCGGCAGGTTTCCTGTGTGCGTAGGGGGGCTTTGAGGGTACGGCGATGAAGGCGAGGGTCGGCGCCCGTGGTCCCGGTCGTCCTTGCCTTGGCGTTCCGCTGCGGCGGGCTCGCTGATGTTCCTGCCCATAGCTGCAGCAGCACTCTTGCTCTCCGGCTGGTGCTTTATGTCAGGCGACGCTGCCGTGGGCAACTTCGGGGACGTGGACCGGGGCGTGGGATAGCCATTCACGAAGTGACTGGAACCATTACTGTGCTCGGTCTGTGCGGGTCTACCGTCGCCCTCCAGGGCGTGCTCCTCCCCCGTAGCAACCGCCATCCACGCCGTCGGCTGGGAAATCTCTGCCTCGACCTCGGCAGCGGCCATGGCGGCGAATATAAGCGGACGGCCTTGCACGGGGCCGCGTTGGGATGCGTCGGGGAACATGCTGGTTTGTTCTTGCTTCGGTGCCGGCTCGCGAGGAGGCGAGGCGCGGTGGGGCGACTCGTTGTTCGGTGGCGAAGTAGTGGATTGCTTGTGGGTCCGGGTCCGGGAAGACTGGCCAGTCGGGGAACGTCTGGGGATCGGGTAACGTGTATCCGACTCTGGAGACAGCAGACTGTGGTCGAAATCGAGACCGCGTGTGGTAGGCTTGGCTGTTTTAACTTTTTGCGCTTGAACAGGTGATGGAGCTTGACGAACAGGCGGATCCGCAGGGGCGGGCGAGGTCGTGGTAGGAGGCGCAGAAGGGAGTGAGAGTTGAGGAGGGTGTTGGCTATTTGAGCCGGGGGCAGAAGGCGGAGATGGCCTTGCCGAAGAAGGCTTGCGAGAGGCAGGGGCAGGAGGATCGGATGGAGAAGCAAGGGCTGGCGGGGAGTCGACGAGGACGGTCCGGCGTTTTGATACGTTCGGACTCGGGGGCGGCTGTGTCGAAGCAGGAAGGGCAGATGGGGCAGGAATCGGTGGCACGGGCGGGATGTCATGCGTGCGCGCGTGCATGTCGTCGGTAGTGTCTTGGCCGTCGCCGAGAAGAGTGTCGAGAGGGAAATTGAAGCCGCTGAGATGCAACGACTGCAGCTGCAGCTCAGGCAAGGCGCGTCTCGCAGATGACGGGAGGCGCTGCAAGCATGGAACGCGTCAATTGTCTGACAGTTACTTAACGTTCTGTCCATCGGTCGCGAAGAGAAGGCGACGACGTGACAATGATGAAATGCGTACCTGGCGTGGCCCTCTTCCCGCTCCTGCGCCACTTTCGGCGCTGGGGGATGTTGGGAGGACCGGCGGCGTCACGAGCGTGTCAGCAGCGGTGGGCGCGAGCGAGGAGGGAGGAGGAGCGGACGAGGCGGAGGAGGATGTCGTAGTCGGGGGCTGTAGTCGCGACAGCGTCAGCATGGAGATAAATACAAGGGCGAAGGTGGGAGAATACACGGAAATGCGAAGAAGACAACTCGTGGCTCGATCAACGCGCCCACGTGACGGAAGAGAACGTGTGTAGCGGCGGCCCAGTTCATGAGCGAAGCAACGCGACGCGTCGCAAACGCGCTTTTAATACTCGCTGCAGACGTCATCGTGCCCTCAGCCCTCCGCGTCCCGCTCCCGCTCAGTGTGCAACACAACCTCCGCCTACGTCATAGGTTACAAGAATTTCGAGCGGCAGGCACAATTCCATCCGCCACAGCAAATGAAAGCTTTCCCGTACCTTCGTGTTCTGCGTGATTGGCCCGCTGCTTGTTTCCGGGTCTGACGCAGTCCGAGTCGACGGTAACCCAAATGCCGCCAACAACGAGTATTTCCTCCGCCGGGGCGGCCGCCCACTTGTCTCAGCAGTGCTCGTAGACGCATGCGATGCCTCTGCCTTCGTCACAGAGGGAACGCCGTTGACCGGCTGAGACGGAGAGTCCTCGGCACTCGTCGGAGCGTCCGATGCGTTGGCGTGTCCCAACGAAGACTGCGCAGCTGCAGACGCAGTTACACAGCCGGACTTGGCATCGATCGCACTACTGCCCACATTCGATGTCGTCCCCGTACGCTGGGTAGCAGAGCCCGAGTCGGGCGGCGTGGCGCTCGTAGCGGAGTCCAGCACCCGTCCAGGTTGAGGCACCGCGCCGTCAGACCCCGCCCCATCCGCGCCAGGACGAGACGCGGCAGAAACCGCCGACCCGCCGAAGGGGACTGAAGAGGTGGCCGCAGAGACGTCCGAGCCAACGTCCCGCGACAGCCGTGCGTGCCGCTTCGTGCTGACCGTCCTTCCTCGTCCTGACGGAGGGCCGCTCTCGCTGGTGCTCTCCGCACGACGGTGCGCCAGCTTCCGAGCCGGCAGGAGCACCCGGTCTCCTACTACGCGCGGCCGGTCGTCCGTGTCGCGGGGAGTCGAACTGGAGCCCGAGGACGGCTGAGTGCTCGCTGTGGCACTGGAGACCGTCGACGAGTTCGCGGTCGACTTGTGAGCCTTTGTCGAAGCGTCTGATGGATGAGAGAGCTCCAGAGGCGGTTGCGGAGATTCTGCAGGCGTCGATGACGAGGACGCCTTGAGGCGCAGACGTTTTGGCGTTGAGAACTTGTCTTCCCATCCCTCCGAGTCAGACGAAGGGTTGATCACGACGGCTCTCGTCGAAGCAGAACCCAGGTGCGTGGGACTCGATGATGGAAACGAGACGAGCGAAGGCGCCTCGTGCGTTTCGCGTGTTCGCCGCTCTTCCGCTGAAGACGACTCTTCTCCACCTCGCTCGACCTCGGCCTTCTTGCGAGCTACCTTCCGCGCGGGCAGAAGGACGCGCTCGCCCTCCACGCGCGGGGCCTCCGCCCGCCCGGTGCTCCTCTCTGGGTCGCTCTCCTTAACTGGGGACGCTTCCCTGCTCCCCGCTCCCCTCGGTCGCCCTTCGCGCAGCTCAGCCCTAACCTCCTCCGCCCCCCTTCGCGCCACCTTGCGGGCAGGCAACAAGACTCTTTCGCCTGGAGAGCCAAGGGATTCCTCCAGCCCAACCCGCTTCTGGGGCGAGACGTCCCTCTTCGTGCGCTCCTCCGCACCCTCCCTCATTGTTCGTCCGTCTCCACCTGCGTCCTCTCCCCTGCCCTCCGCCCTCTTCCCCGCCACTTTGCGTGCAGGCAAGAGCACGCGCTCGCCCTCCGCCCTTCCCCCGCTCCTCCCCTCCAGCGCCTCCCCACCGCTCGGCATCCGCTTCACCTCCCGCTCCTTCTCTCCCCGTGTCTCCTTCTCCCTCTCCCTCTCTCTATCCCGCACCTCATGCCCATACGGCCTCTCCACAGCCCTCTCCTCTCTCCCTACCTCCTCCTTCCTCGCCGACGGCCCCCGCGCAACCGGCCCAGGGGCAAGCCCATTGAACTGCGGAGGAGCCTGACCGCCTCTCCGCGGGGCGAGCGCGATGGGCCCGGACACGGCCGGCTTGTCCTGCCCGCGGTGCGCTGTCGCGAAGCGCGCATACAGCGGGGTCGAGGGCGCAGTCGGGCTCGCGGGCGCAGGCGCGAGGGGGGCCGGGGCGGATACGGGACCGGGCGCGGAAACGGGAATGGACGGCTGGGAGTGCGAGGTCGAGGTCGACGGCGAGGACGTCGACGTCGTGCGTTTGCGGAGGAGCTGTTTCATCCCGCGGGGGGTCGTTCAAGGAGGACAAAGCGTCCGTTGTCTGCAAAGGAGAAGAGGCGGAGGGGGCACGGCACAAGGGAGGGGCGCGCGGTTCGCATTACATGTTGTGTGAGAAGGCGGTTGGAGAACGCACCAGAAGAATGAAACTCTCTCCTGGGGTCGTATTTTCGTTTTTGGGCCGCAGCGAAGGCTATAACGATCGCCTCCTGATCTCGGAGCTGAAGCTCTAGAGCCCGGTCGGCTGGGGTCGCTGATCCTTCAATTTGCGGAGCGGAAGACTCTGAAGCTAGTTCAAGTTCGACGTTGGGGCCGTGCGTGCAGACCTCGAGATAGCTTGTTATCTTTTTTAGAGAGACCGGGCGTGACGCGTGCAGAAGCAGAAGCGGATATATTCTAGTAGCTGGTCGAGCGGATTAGAAACGACCTGCCTCGACGCCGAACACAGACAGAGATTCACGAGCGCAGCGCGTTACGGAAGAGCGAGCGAGCAGCGTACAGTACGTCGGGGCTAGTGGGAGTGGACGTCGAGAAGCAAGCAAAGAGATGTATAGAGTGTCGCAACGAGAACGGGCGAGAACCTGGCCTGCAGGCAGGCAGGAAGCAGGCACAACGCAACGAGGCGGGAGAGCGATCCTGCACTTTGATCACGCCGGCCGTTCCAACGCGTTCGTCGTTCGAAATCGAAAGCAGGCAGCGCCGAGCCCGACGGAGGCCTGATTGGATAGACGCTGTCATCAGCCGCCCATCAATGCATCAACTCGTACCGGCTGATTAGATTAGATGTACGAGGCCTATGACGAGGACGACTTTGGCGCGCCCCGGCACAGGTTGCGAGCTGACAGCACTCAGTCTTCGGACATCCCGTCCGACATATATTTCCGAAGACCTCTGTTACGATCAGTCTGTATTGCCCGCAACGACTCTGGGAGCGCTCATCTGACCTTGGTATAGCGACCTATAAAACCAGCGAGGCAAAGGACAAGTAGACACCATCACCCTTAGCTCACCAGATCGAGGAAATGGCTACCTTCGGCAAAGCCACCTTCAACGCGGCGAGGTACGCCTCGAGTCAGTGCTATCTCGCTTCCCAGGTTGGGAAGGAAACTGACCTTCCGGTACTGTGTATACCCAGGTCGGCCCACATACCCCCGTCAGCTGTACGACTTCATCTTCAAGTACCACGAGCGCGCTAAAGGCGCACGCTGGGACCTCGCGATCGATGTCGGATGCGGAACCGGTACGTCTGCTCCCGCACGCTCAGCACACGCTGCATTGACGATGCACGCAGGTCAGGCGACCGTCGAGCTCACGCCGTTCAAGCGCGTGATAGGCTTGGACCCGAGCGCGAAGATGATCGAGCAGGCGCGGGAGAGCGTCAGGACGCGCCTCGCAGGCCTGGACCTGTCGACGCAGATTGAGTTCGAGCAGTCGTCTGCGGAGGAGCTCAAGCCTCTGCAGGACGGCAGCGTGGATCTGCTCACTGCAGGTGTGTCATCCCCCGACCCGCTTGCTGACTCCTAAGTAGGAGCAGGATCATTCAGGGGCTGATATAGTGCGTTGATCGATAGCGCAAGCATGCCACTGGTTCAACTGGGATAGATTCTGGCCGGAAGTCGCGCGCGTGCTGCGCAAGGACGGAACGCTAGCTGTCTGGGTGCGTGCTAGCGCATCATCACCAAGACGCTGCGTCAGCACGGTCACCACGTCCTTCTATGCTGACGCGAACGTCTCCAAACATTGTCCCACAGGGCTACTCCGAGTTCCGCCTCTCGCGCTACCCCACCGCGACGAAGCTGATCAACCAGTACATGCAAGGCAGCGACCCGAAGAACTCCCTCGGGCCGTTCTGGGAGCGTCCCGGCCGGACGATCCTCGACAACCACCTGCTCGACGTCCCCGCGCCCGAGGCCGTCGCCCCGGGCCAGTTCAGCGCGTTCGAGCGCGTGTTCTTCGCGGGGGCGCACGACCCCGCGCTGCCGGACCCGCGCCCGGTGATCCTGCGCAAGACGCTGACGTGGGACGAGCTGCGGGGGTACTTCTACACGGCGAGCGCGCTGCACACGTTCGCGGAGCAGAACCCCGAGGATGCGCAGCGTGCGGACGGGGACCTCGCGACGCGCTTCCAGAGGAGCCTGAAGGAGGAGGTGGCTCGCGTGGACGGCAAGGGGCTTCCCAAGGACGAGGACACGGTTGACATCGAGTGGCCCTTGACACTCATTCTCGCAAGGAGGGCGTGAGAATGATCTGCGAGGAGTTGACACTCTTCGTGCGGGGCTCCGCGTTAGACATCTTCTGACATCCTATGTTTTGCACCAAGCATGCGTGGCTCTGGTTGCCTAACGGCGCCTTGACCCGTTTGAGAGCGGAACGCCGATTTCGAGGATGAGCTTCACATGCAATTCACGTCCCTGATGAGAAGGATCGTCTTCCGGCTTCTGCGGGGGCCGAGGCATCGATGCCCTCGTAAGGTTGCTATGCCTACTGTACATTGCTACTCGAAGGTGCTTCAACGAGAGCTTGGTGAGTGTTTCATACAGTACTTCTCGTGAGTTTTCATCCACGACATGACGAGGTCCTGAGCTTGCTGCCCCTGGACGCAGACAGGCTATTGCCATGTGCTTGTGGCAGTCGTGTGTGGTGTCGGACGCGAGTGGCGGACGCAAGAGGACGGGATCACGTCCGGCGATGCGGATCTCACGTATGAAAGATTACAAGGAGGATCGGATGAGGACTTTGACTCGGGCGAGACGCGTACCACGCGGTCGTGTGAGATGGCTGACGCGCACCCATCGCTCCCATCCGGCGAATGGAGGCATCCATCGTGACCAGCGCAGTCTACATCGGGCACTCGCAGTCTGCTACTTACCCCGCGGGGGATGCGTACGCGGTGATGACGTTGATTGCGCCATGGGCCGGCTAATCGGCCACGCAAAGTGCGGGGTCGATCAGCGTTTCGCCCCGCATTTGGGCATAGCACCCCCAGCTCGGGAGCGCTCTTCAATTTTCCCCACATTCTCGATTTTATCCTAGCGTGTTAACCCCATGCGATCGCCCTCGCACGGACGCCAGGCCATGGTCGCGCATTACAGTATATAGCTGGCGTTTTCAACGCCTCGCCCCCTCCTCTCGTGCCGCCACCCCTGCACAGCCGCAGCGTAGTCCATCCAGACCTCGACCCGTCCTCCCACATCGCCCCCTCAGTGATGTCTTCGGCATACACCCCCTTGGGCTTGGCCCGTGTCGTATCCCTCTTCCTCGCCTTCGTCTTCGGCATCGTCGGACTAGCGCTCAACGCCGAAGCGTTCGTCAGGTCCACCAACCAGAAGTCAGAAATCAAGCGGGTCGCACCCCAGGGGACCTCCATCCACCTCGACAACTCCGACGTCGTCTCCGCCGGAGGGGCCGTGCTCGCGTTCAGCACGGTCATCGCCCTCGTGTCGCTCGCATCGCTCGTCCTCCACCTGCTGTCCCCCACCCGGTCCCTCTCGACGCGCACGCTGCCCCTCCAGGGCGCGCTGCTCGCGATAGGCACGCTCGGGCTGTTTGGGAGCCTCGTCGCGATGACCGACATCGTCGCCAACCGCCAGGTCAAGGTCTCCGCGACCATCGGCGGCACGCCTGTCCCGGCCTCCCTCGTCCAGAGCGTCGAGCAGTCGCTCGGCGTCACGCCTGTATACCATAAAATCTTCTACCGTGAGTGCTCCGCCCCCACCACTGCGCTGCGTTGTGCGCATGCAGGACGCTGACTCGCCTGAGGCATCTAGTGAAACGCGCAGTCATCCTGCCGTGGTTCGCCTTCCTCTTCGGCGCAATCTCGACCGCGCTCTCCTTCGCTAGCCCGAGAGGCGCGCTTGCTCCCGCAAATGACAAGGGGTCATATACCACCGACCCAAATGGAGAGAAGCAGGGGCAGGTCTGATTGTACGGAATAGGTCTGCGCTCGCTCTCGATGGCACGAGCTCTGACTCTATGCAGTCAGTAGTGTTCAGCACGGTATACCTCACGACTTCACATACTAGTACATACCCATTCGTTCACCAATGACCCACCGCGATGTAATACTGTGAGTGTTAGCGCTGAAAGCTGCAGTCAGTTGGCTCTGTGCCCTCGGACCGGTGTAGTGCATCATCCGCCGCGGGATCATTCACCGGGCCATAGCCGCAGGGAATATTCAGCTGACTTGCCGCGCCATTGAGCGCCAGACTCCATGGAACCTAGTCTATGGTCCGATCTTGAGCTTATATGCGTGCCCTTTTGATGAGCCTCAAGCAGTGAAGGCTTATAGGACGCATTTCTTCCATGTGTTGATATCTTGGAGAATGTCAGTCGAGACCCTCGCCAGAGAACTACGGTAGGCTCCTTTGCATACGCATTGACATGCTCCAGAGGGATCGTCAACGACTGCACAGACATAAAGATATCATCGCTACCAATACCATCGTAATGTGATGAGCAGCACCACCTCACACCGAGAGCACCAACCCTTTTTCCGCAGCAAGAACGCCACTACTCGTACACTGTCGAGAGGCCCATATGAGCAAACGAGTGCGTCTCTGGCTCCCCGCACGACAGACAACGTACAGAACAACCCCGACGCAGCGCAGCTCAATCCCGCTTGCGCTTGATGAGCCCGAACAACCTCCCCCTCTTCTCCTTCGCCTCCTGGTGCTCCCGCGCCTCGTGCTCCATCTCCTCCTCCGAGATGTGCCCCCCGAGCGCGTACCACGTCACCGTGCTCATCCCGATCACCGCAGTGAGCACGCACCCGAACATCGCGCCGATCCCGCGCGGGTGCCAGCCGTTGTTCTGCGGGAACGGCCCGAGCACGAGCCCGGAGAGGTCCGTCGCCGACGCGTGCCCCGCGGCGTTGCCCGACGTCGGCAGCCCGAGCGCGGCGCACTGGTCGTACATGTACTGCGGGATCGCGTTGCGCTGCTGCGCGACGAGCGGCGCTTCGATGAACTGCACCGCGAGGCCGACTTCGAGGTGCCATTCGATGTGGCCTGTGTACGCGTGTACAAGTGTCAGAACGAACGATGGGAGGATGACGGAGACGAGCGAGGGGGACGTACAGTGGAAGAACCAGGCGCCGGGGTTGTCGGCGACGACGCGGAGCGTGACGGACTGGCCCGAGGGCACCTGGACGGTGTCGCGGCGCATCGGGTTCGGCTGGCTCTCGTTCAGCGGCGGGTTGAGCGTCGGGTCGTCCGACGTGTAGTCCTGCGAGCGCCCGACGAGCTGCATCTTGTGCCCGTGCAAATGGCTGTCCGCGCGCATGCGTTAGTCTCCCATCACATGAGACTCAAATCGAACGGGCACGCACAAGGGATGCTTGCCGGCGTCGCCGTTCTTGAGCACGATGTCGAACGTCGTCAGGTGGTCGAGCACGAAGCTCGTCGGGCCGTACGCGCCCGCGACGCTCGCGTTCTGGCTGAGGCTCATCTCGGACATGATCGCGGGCACGAGCGGCGAGTTGTACGTGATGCCGTTGAACATGGCGTGGTTCGTGCCGTCGGCCATCGTGTCGAACGAGACCTCGAGCTCGATCGTGCGGTCCGCGGGGTCGAGCGGGATGACGTCGGTGGGCACCAGCGCGAGGTCGTCGACGTCGTGGTAGGCGTCGACCGTGCCGAGGTTGGTGAGCGGGGCGGAGGAGGAGTAGGTGATGGAGGAGGTCACGTCTGTAGGAGGGGAGGTGGTTGGTGGTGAACTCGAACGAGGGACAAGAGGAGAGACTTACTGGGGTTGAGGGTGTCGGGAACTGTGTCGAACATGTCTGTGTCCATGTTCGCGTGGATGGCCCAGTTCGCGGAGGTGTCGTTGCGTGCAGTGACGAGAATAGAGTATCGCTGTGCAACGGTAATGCCAATCAGGTCAATAGGCGACTCCGCGACATCGGTCTGTTGGGGATGCAGGGCATGAGTTATGGAACGACCGTTCGGGACACGACAGTACGTACACCGTCAGCCTCAATGATGCGCATATCATGACCGTCGATCCAGAAGAAGAACGCAGCGAAGGCGCTTGTGTTGACGATGCGCAGGCGGTACGTCTTCCCAGGCTGTATGTAACAGGAGTGGTTAGTAGGTACCAAGCTATCGGAATCATGCATGTGAACACACCTGGAAAGGAAGAGTTGCGTTCTCATTGAAGCCGACCTGACCGGTGACAGGGTCAGGGCTAGTGCCAGCGATAGGCCCAAGATAGGTGCCGTTTTGCGCGAAGTACATCAATGCTGAGTCTAATGAACAGAGTTCCATCTGTCAGTTGAGAGCAGTCAGGCTTATCAGATAGGCGGCGGACCTGGTACGGGCTCGGCCCCACCGGGGTTAGCGATAGAGATGAACTGTTTGAGCAGCTCATCGTGCTGGCTGTGGTACCAGTCACCGAGAACGATGGTGAACTCCTCGTCGTACGCATGTACTTCCTTCTCGGGATGAATGACTACGGGCGCACGGAGCCCATCGACGTATTGGCCCTGATGTACAGCAGACACGGGTCAGCTTCAGCGTACGCAATACGGTATAAAGATTTGCACGTACGGATGCGTGCGAGTGGATCCAGTACGTCCCCCACTGACCCGAGGAGTTGATGGGCACGACGTAATCGAAGGTCTGACCGGGCGGGGTACCACTGTTTGCAATGGCTTGAACGAAGTCGTAACGGAAGTGGCTGGAGCGCCTACCATTGCGAGACACCCACGGCGCCGTCCATCCAGGACGTGGAGTTGAAGAACATACCGTGGTGGTGCAGGGAGGTCGGCTGGTCGATGGAGTTGATGGCATGGACGATGAGCGTGTCGTTAGTCGTGACGTCAATTGGTGGTGGCCTGCACACTGAAGTCAATGACATCCAACAGCAGCACGAGAAGCGCTACTTACGGCCAGGTGCCGTTGACACCAATGACCCGGCGAGGTTGGAGACCGTCGGGGTTGGCGTTCTGGACGTAGGTGATGTTCCACCATATCTCCTGCACTGCGGCGAGCGCGGGAGACGCGGTAGAGAGGAAGACAATCGCAGACCACTTCATGTTCTGGACAAGCCGCTAACGAGGGAGGTCAAGGTGTCTTCAGCACTCGGTGCTGGACTCGGGAGGGCGGGGGAAAATGAGGGATGAAGAGGGGCGGGGAGGAAGGGCATCCGGGAGACGGCTCATATGAATGTGAGGCATTTTCGGGTTTGGTCAGACGACGAAGAGTTGAGCCGAAAGCAGGAGATCCATTCGGGATTCGGCGTTGGAGGAGCGCAGGCTGCTGCACGCCAAGCTGTCGCGGTCAGATCAGAAATTTTATCAGATAACGCCGCGCTTCGCTTAGATCAGGGCTAGGCTTATCAGATTACGGCATGCAGAGTCCGGCCAACTCTTCCCCCATGTGTCGCCGTCTGCATCTTTGATTCTCTCAGAGACCAGCTGAGCATCCATGACTTCCTGAGCTTTCTCATGCAGTCTGTGTTTAGCTTGCGGGTCCTGGAGACAGAGTGGGCTCGCCATGAACCGCGCTGGCCGTCAGCATATGTCGTGCAAGATTGGGACTCTAAAATAAGGCACTGCCGTAAAGCGCGGCCTGTCTGATGACCCGTTGTCAGATTAGATGAGCCCAGCCAACCGTCCTATAGCCGACCGCACGTCCCGTTGTTTCGGTTCCAGCGGCACCTCTCGCGCAAAATTATCAGATAACGTGGAACCACTCCTCGCCCTCCCCCCCCACCCCGTCCCCCGCCGCCTAACGCGTACTTAACTGTACACTCTTGCGGCAGCAACGCGCCCAGGTCCTCTCGCCTGTCTTCCCTGACCGTCCGCGAGATCGCCCCCCTGACAGACACGGCACCATGGCGAGAAACGTCTTCTCCGTGCCCATCTTCTTCATTGTCTTCCGCGAGACCCTCGAGGCCGCCATCATCGTCTCCGTCCTCCTCGGTCTCGTCGAGCAGATCGTCCACCAAGACCCGGCACTCATCCCGGGCGCCGTCTCCCACACTCTGACCGTGTCCACGTCCGATCAGGAAAAAGACAAGGCCGACTCGAATGAGGGTGTGGTAACGCCCCAGGAGCTCACCTCGGGCGAGGACCTCCAGGTCAACGCTAAGCGTCTGCTCCGCAGGATGCGCATCTACATCTTCGCAGGCGCATTTCTCGGCTTGTTTTTTGCGCTCGCAATCGGTGCTGCGTTCATTGCCGTTTGGTTCACACAGGCGGCCGACTTGTGGTCCAAGTCCGAAGCGCTTTGGGAGGGTATGTCTTCATGTCCCTGTGTAATGCTATTTCCGAATTTGACCGCTTGTGCGTCATAGGTATCTTCTCGCTTGTTGCATCTCTCATCATATTCGCCATGGGCATCGGAATGCTCAAGATGGACCGAGCAAAGGCGAAATGGCGAGTGAAGCTCCAGCGAGCCTTCGCTGGCAAAGGTCAGCTGCTGTGTTTGGCATCACCGCGGTCATGGCACTCACGTCGAAAGTTTCCCAGCTGAGAGTCGTGGGGCAAAGACGGGCAAATACGTCCTATTCATTCTGCCTTTCATCACTGTGCTTCGTGAAGGTGAGGACGCGCTGCTATCGTCGCCTTCTCTGCGGTTCGCTGATCTGCTCACACCTGCTATTCCAGGTATGGAAGCTGTCGTCTTCGTCGGCGGAGTCTCCCTTGGGCAGCCCGCAACGTCCATCCCCATTGCTGCCATCGTCGGCCTTGTCTGCGGTCTCATCTGTGGTTACCTCATCTACGCCTTCGCGAGCAGGACAAGTGCGTCACATCGCAAGTTTCCTCGGACGACGCCCTGTATATTGACGGTTTTCCTTCACCTCCGACAGCGTTGACGATCTTCATGGTCGTCATGACCAACTTCCTGCTCCTCATCGGCGCCGGCCTCTTCTCCAAGGCCGTCTGGGACTTCCAGGAGAACGCCTTCAACAACCTGTAAGCCTTCCTCCCTTTTCAATCCAATTCCCTATCGCTGATCGAGCCCTCGCGCTCTGCCAGCCTCGGCGCGGACGTCGACGACACGGGCGGCGACGGTCCGGGCTCTTTCGACGTACGCGGCAACGTGTGGCACCTCGACTGCTGCAACCCAGAGAACAACTTCGACTCGGACGGCTGGACGATCTTCTCCGCCATCTTCGGCTGGACCAACTCTGCAACGGTCGGCTCTGTACTCTCCTACGTCTTCTACTGGCTCGCCGTCGTCGCCGTGCTCATCCACATGAAGTTCAAGGAGGGCCGGACGAAGCTCCTCGGCAAGGAGTCCGCGATGGGCCGGAAGCGGCGCGAGAGGATGGAGGCGCAGGAGGCGAGCGCCGTCGCAGCAGCTGAGAAGAGCGATTGAGTTCGTGGTAAACCCAGAACAAAAGCGCAGGCTATGACTAGTAGAGGCACGATCTCGATGCTTAGTCCTTTTGACGACACTCCTGTAGCAACAATATGCGGCTGTAATCTCTGGAGAAGTGCCCGAAATCAGTATCAATGGCACGTAGTACGGCTGGAAACGCGAATCGATCGGCTGAGCACGACGATGTATGACACGCGCTCACACACAAGTACGCACCCGCACCCGACTTGTGCGTCCGTCGAACACGGGCTCGTGGCGCACCCGGAGCGGTGGTTATGTATGCATGTCGAGTCCCAGCAGCTTGGTGTGTGTGCAGATGCGCGGTGAAACGTATCATCTGGACAGAGGATGATACCAACGGCCAGCCGCCAGACCCCTCTCGACCGACAAGGGCCGATCCACTCCACGATGGGCCATATGGTCGCGGAGCCTGTCGACGCCGACTATGGAGAACGTGCCACAATGTAAAGCTCCTGAGGACTTCCAGCTTCGGCATCTGTCGTGTTCTCTTCAATTCCCCAGCGTGCCTAGGAGCGCCGCGCGGTAGCCCATCACGATTCTATGCGTGCATACATTCAATGCGTGATTTCAATGACCTTGTCAGCGTGGGTGCGCTAGATTCGAATGGGACGTGCCATGTCGACTTGCCAGGGAGCGTATCGATCGGAGGCTCGGCACCGCATGGAAATTCGTCGGAAATTCGGCCGCTAAGTGAGACGTGGGACATTAGTGCAATGCATCCGGGATTTAGGAAGGGGAAGTCGAGGTTGTCTCGCTGTGCGCCATCGTCGCCTATACGACGCTGCGCTCGACGGGGCGACAGAGGGTTGGCGACGGTATTCCGACGGGGGGCTACTGCACCTAGAATAACTCATGCCTGTTCAGCAGCGAATCTCTGGGAAGAAGCGGAGAGCAGCACGTCCGCCCACTGGCGCGCGCAACGGCTGGCGCCGTTGCAAGAAGGCGAGGGCGCCGCACGCCACGAGCGATCTTCGCGAAGTTGAGACTGAGTTGAGGCAAAGTCTAGAAGGAAGCGTGTCACTATCTGATAACGTGCGGCAACAATATCTCCTCGCCGAAAGAGCTTGAGCTTCGCTGGGGTCGCTGCGAAGTCTTGAGTTCTGTTGAACGGATTAACCCGATCGACGCGGTGGCTGAGCTTCCTCCTTCGAATTGACATTTATCTGATAAGATCGGAGCGTCGTAGTGCATACTATACATAGGGCCCGACGGGTACCTGACGACAAAACCATGCATGCCCTCCGCCAACTCACACCAAGCTAGCTTCCCCCTCAAGGAGCACGATGCAATGATTGACAGTGTCACAGGATGGTAAGCGGGATTCCCGAACGTCTGAACTATCAGCATGCTAGCAGACGCCAGAATGCGACCATGCATAATCACAGCACAAAATGCGAACATTGCAGTAAGCACTAGGACCGCGATGATAGGTAACAGGCATTGCGTCCGTTGCTCGTTGACATTGCACTTTAGGGTCTGCCAAAGCCCATCAGCTCCGCTATAGAGTAGAGGGCACACTCGTACCATATGCATTACCTTGAGCATATCTACCGTCAAACAGACCCTCACTGCCTGCAACGGGAACACGCCAATTGCGCAATTCTGACCTCCCAGCCAGATTCGAACACTCAGCGCGATCGGTCTACACCGGTTCCTGTACGCGATCCCCACCTAGAGTACTCGCCTTGCTGAGGCTTGCTCACGGTCCGGCAGCTGATACCTCTCCCGCCTTCCTCTTGCCCGTTCCGTTTTGCATACCGCCGTCGAGCGAGCTGATCCGCGCCTCATCGTCCATGCCGGTGTGAAGTCGCTTTCTCCTGCAATCAGTCCGTACTACGAACGAGCTCGTTGTGCAGAACGACTGCGAGATAGACAATGGCAAGACCGACGTCGACGGTACAGATATGGGGACAGTCGATGACTCGTAAAACGCGTGCGCGATGAGCCCGGCGGCGGCGGCTTGACACCGCTGACAGAGGAAGACGGGACTGAAAGTTGGCACTCCGGAGACCTGGGGCTTGCCAGTGGTGAACTACAGCTGTTTGCGAACTTATGTCCGACCATTGGAGACGAGAATATCGAGAAAATCAAGGAATTCATGAGCTCGCCATTCCGTTCCCTCTTCACGGAAGATCTGACGCATTCGTGGCCGGAGCAGTAGACGGTGGTCTGCCTCCTGGCTCTCGCCAGCGCATCAAGCGCCGGAGTATCTTCGTGACTCTCGCGGCCTTCAATGCTGTTTCACGCTCTTTTATTGGCAAAAACTATCTTCAAGCATTCATGATACTCTCCAGTGTGAGAATCGTCAGCAAACACCATATCGACTCTCATGCAACGCAGGTAGAGGCAGCGTTTAAGTAGCAACTAGTTCCGTCTCTTCTGTTCATGGGAGCCTGCCAGTCCCTTCCTAGTCGCTCTGGCCTAATTGCACAAAATAGCGCCTGTGGAGTCCTCGTAAGGTGCCTTCGGCGGACGTCGTATATCACCTTCGTTCATCCTACTTCAAGTTTTTATGGATCTAGAAGGGCCGGATACCTGGTAATTTAGGTCTTTGATAGTGTAGGGCGATTATGTAATTTGTTTCAATGCACGATGCAGAAGGTGCGCGAGCGTCGCTTGAGTCGGCTGAAATGAATTCCGCAAACAGCTGTATACAGATGACATTGTTGAGGTCGAATCAATGATGAAATACAATTTAGTGAGTCTTCGTCCAGGATTGCAGTGATGATTAGCGACGAGCCCGTCGCTGCTGCGCCCTCCCCTCTCAGCACGTAGCAGAAACCTAGTAACCGACACCAATAAGGTAGTCGGCCAGGTTCTCGACTATAGGCGTTGCTTCGGGTGCCTGGACAGGTGCAGTGTACTCCGCGACGAGCACCGCCTGTTTCGTCTTAACTAGGATGGCACCATCGCCCTGAGATGCGGAGTCGCAGTCAGCGCAATCAGTTATGACATAGGCATCAGCAACGCACCCCCTTCTTGCCGTAGATACTGCGATCGTTAGCTGAAAGAGTGAAGAACTTCTGACCGGCGAGACGGATGCCATTCGCTTGGGCCTCATCGGGCTTGGAGAATGCCCGTACGACCGCCGCTTGCTCCTCCGTGGAGAGCTGTTGAATGCATCAGCAAGGAGTCGATGTCCGATACAACCATGCGGGGAAGAGGCAGGCGGTATGGTGAGTGCACAGGTACTCAAGGGGAAGTATGATGTACTCACAGTGAAACCTGGGGAAGCTGCCCATACACCTCCGGCTTGGCCCAAGATGGCCGCCTTCGAGATCTTCCCGGTACCAATGAGGTTGTTGTCGACATACGCTGGGTGGATCGGGGAAAGTGGGAACGAGGTAATGAGTACCAGATGTGCGGTCGTTCATAGGTGTGGGTGCGCCATGCGATGGTTACCTTGCCAAGACATTGCTATGTGACTAGGAGAGCGAGAGCGAGAAACAAGACAAGGGGGGTGCAGAGGAGGAGATGGAAGAGATGTAGACGGATCGAGCAGCTCAAGTACGCGTGCGGTACTGCTGAGCGGTGCGCGCCATCGCGCCGGAGATCGCCATCAGATAACAACCGTCATAGTAACCCTCTCTTTACCTCAAATATACTCGCAGCTTGTCGACTGAACAATCGCGTTGTAATCGCGTCTTGTAGCGAGGACAAGTTGGGACGGGGAGGGTAAACAACGTCATAGCCTCGTGGTAGTGCTTATAGGCGAATAAATAAGCGATTATGATTGCCCTCTAGCGCTGACTTAATCTCGGTAGCGGGCATCTTCAAGGCCGCTCATCGTACGTACTACTGTGAGCCAGGCGAAGATATATGAAGAACATACTCCTACGGCGCATTCGCATAGGGAAGGGGTACAGTCAAAATAGACGATTGCCCGATTATCGAGGGAACATTGGTGAAGACGTTCAGAATGCCCGTCGCGTTTTGTACGTCTTGAAGGCCGCAGCGTTGCACAAAGTCCCCAGCAACTGCAGCCCGGCTCGCAACGTAATTTTGGAAGGAGGCAAGAGAACAGGATGATCCGGGGCCTCCCGCGCATCCGGGGAGGGGGACGACCGCATTGTTTATCTGTGCAAGGCAAATGGCACCCCGACGCGAGACTTCATGTGAGCAGCTTCCATAATTCGACCTCGCGAGGCCCGCACCTGCAATCTGACGTATTTCTGAGCGCCCGGGCTCGTACCGGGTCCTAAGACGACTTTGCCAGAAGTGTGTTGGACACTCCTGGGAGGGTCGTGTGGGTCGCACGACAGACGCTCGAGAGCGACATAGCCGCGGAAGGATACGAGGAAGGATGAGCGGAAGTTCCTGCGAGGATCAGCATGACTCGTTGACAACGGGTATACGCCGGGGAACGAGGACGTGTTCCAAACTCCGAGCGCGGACACGATGGGCGGCAGATTGTTGTCGTGCTGTGGATAATGTTTAGAAACGATGCACGCCGCGCGCGGCAGACGGCGTGGACCGACCGTGAAGCCCATGATAAGCGGCGGTGGTACGAAGTTGCCTCCAAGAGAGGTGGTGTTTGGCCCAGATGAAAAGAGGTCGGCAATGGCTTTCAACCAGGGATATCCGACCGTGGTAGAGAATGGGTTGCCTGGACCTGACCTGTAGAGTAGACGAGACGGCTTGGATAGTACCATTGCAGACCATGCATATGAGATGGCTTACTCACCCGTAATAGTAATTGAGATCATGAGCATACTCATAGTCCAGCCATTCCGAGTCTGACAACCACCAAGTTCAGAATCTCGTGACAAAGAGCGCTGCACAACCTGACCTTGAAAAATGTCACAGAAGCGAGTGTCGCCACTGACCTCGGCCTGAAAACCGCACAGATCTTGCATGACACCGATATCAGTTGCGTTCAAGGTCAATCCGTCGAGAAATTGGTTCAGGCGCTTTGCGATGTTCCCTTGGTTTGTTCTACGGAATACCGTCGCCTTGACCGAGGTGTCTCCGCTACTATAAGCAGGGCAAGCTGCCGACGGCGTTAGGGAGTCCGCGAAGGTAAAGTTGACGGAGTCGGGCATCGTCACAACATGGCCCCGATTTTCATTCTGGGCTGACAAGTAATTACCCTGAGACAGGTAGCCCAGCGTGAAGTACGTCGCTGTGTCGACAACGCGCTGCTGTCCCGCGGACCTATGGAAGCAGGCATTTAACGAACGTTTCGAATTGGGTTCAGCTACCGTATAGGGGGGGTACGAACCACACGGTGAAGTTGTCTCCACCCTTAGTGAATCGGTAGAGCTTCCTCAGCTCGACACCCAATTGAAAGGCTTCCTGAGCACCTGTAGAAGACAAGAAAAAAGGCTCGTGGGGTATATCATCGACAGGCGGGACCCAAGAAGGGAGGAAGGCTAGTGGACCACGGGCTGTGTAGGTCGCATTTTGGAGCTTTGAGAACAGGGCTTGCCAACCTGCAAAAGACCCCGGCTCAGGGTAACGACTACGTGAAAATTTCATCAACAAAGGTGAGAAGAATAGCCAGACGTAAGACTTACGAGCCATGCCGAACAATATATGCAACTTGGTCTACAGCGCACTGGGAGGGTGTGGACGGAGAGACACCAAACTGAGCGGGCGCGTCAAAAAATGGTGACGCGGCGCCGGAATGATGCAGTGGATTGAACCTCCTGCAATGCACGGCCGTAACCAAGGTCAGGAGAACGAGCAGCGCTGCCACAGTCATTGCCACGTTGAGCCAGGCATTGTACAAATCACTGATCAGACAGTGCCTTTAAAGAGTCCTCGAATGTCCACCCAAGTACTGGCTCCCGAAGCACGTTCGTGATCATCGTTCCGCAAGGTACCGCGAAGGTCTGGGAGTCCGATACGTGCTATCGGTCACCCGACCACGTGAACCGACCAGGTAAAAGTATTCAGAGCTTCTGCAGCAACAGGGGCCCCGTCGGCCCGGCCCGCAGCTCTTCTCATGCAAGCAACTTGCGAGTATACATAGACGCATTGCCGACCTGCGAGCTTTCCATGGGTTATGCTTTGAGTAGATATTGAGCTAAATGAAGACCGACCTGAGCAGGATAGCAGACGGCTGGGGTTATGTACGGATGGCCCACTAAAAATTCGACTTCAGAGATGGCGAGTCGCAGTAATACAATAGTCCCGTATGTGGATATATAGTACATATGAACACAAACCACAGAAAGATAGCAGGAAAGCAAGAGGAAGATTCAATCCGGAAGTTCCCATCCGTAGAGTTTGCCTGTGTCCTCGCCATGGTAGAGGGACTCCCTGAAGGTACGGTCAGAGAGCACATCATGGAGAGCTTAACGTAGAACGTACCCAACGAATTTGAGCGCAGTTACACAGGGAGTAGAACTCCTGTAACGACTCTCGGATTTCACCTTGAGCGTCTTGAGCGTCACGAACTCCCACCGCGCCTTCTCTCCTTCCGGCGTAGAATTGGGATTCCATGTTCGTAGGGTGATCGTTCCGTCGGGAGCGCCGGTAGCAATGAGATCGGTGTGAGCATAGTCCCGTTCAAGGAAGGCAAGAGATGTGACAGGAGGGTAAAGTGGGGAAGGCGCGGAGTCCGTGAGATCCAAGGAAGCAATAGGGCGGGCGTTGATTGTGTGCAGCCATAATCGGTCCCGTGAACATGTAGCTATATAACCCTGCATCAAGATGAGTAGATGTCTGCTGAAAGGCGGCATTGTAAGGCATACTGTGCTCTCGTTTATGGCGACCAAGTGTACTTCGGACGATGGTCCAGTACCATGCCAAATTGACCGCGTGTATACGCCACGGTTCAGGTCCCATAGTGCGGCACTACCATCGTTTGACCCGCTGACGATCAGTGACCATGCTCGTGAAGCAGTAATGCATGTCACCCTGGCCGTGTGTGCGCGCATCAAATGGGTGAGTTGCAATGTTACCGGTTGCTCGCGACTACGGTCGTTGCGAATGATTTTCCATAGTCGGACCATGTTGTCCGTAGAGCCCGTCACCAAGGTATCTCCGTCTGCATACGTAGCACAAGAACAGAAGGCGGATTCGACGACCTGAGAAACCTGTCCAGATCGTGAATCGAGTGTACCGTGCACCGAAAACATAAAAGGAATTACCTTGCGATCAAGGACGACCTTCAAAGCGCCAGTAGAACCAGAGCTGCTGTCCCATACTATTCCCTCATGAGGCCTTGAAGGAACACATAGTGTACCCCCTGGGCACGGAATCACTTGCGCGCCGATCAAGTCGAGCACCAAGTCATGCACAGGTTGTTCCGGTCCAAGATCTGATGAATACATGGTGAGCGATGTGTTGACGGCGACACGCACTCTGGCCCGTTACCTCGCAGGGGTTTGGAACCTTGAGTTAATAGGTGGTAGTCCTCTGCAATTCCATAGATGATGCCCAGCGGGAGGGCAGAATTTCCGTGCATGTTCCGCGGAGGATGGGGAGAGGCGAATATCTTGCGAGGGGTCTGGCCGACTGTAAAGCGTTCTTGAGTAACGTGGGTGGGACTGCTATTGAATCCCATATATACGAACAGTTATGAATGATGCCAACCGTCGCCTCGCGCTCGAGGTCGTCTGTGATAGCATCAAGGTCTGGTAAAGGACGCAGTTAGAGCAGGCTCCTTCATTGAGCCATGCACCTCACCAATCGCTCCCTCGTAGCTAAGTGGGTGGAAGACGTTGTATGAATCGGGATCCGCTTGCTTGCAGCCCCAGATCAGATCGATCCATCGGGGTAGGTGTTCACTGACGTAGTCGCTCTCGAGGGCCTAAACGATGGAGTTACATGGTGAGCACAAGTAAGCAAGGAGCCGGAACTTGTCCATACTTTACGATTCATAACGATGAACAAGAGAGGATCCTGCTTCGCCCAGGGTGGAAGCTTTACATCGTGAATCTTCTCACCAGTGTTCTGCTGCACGCCGAAGTCAAGATTGGCGGAGTTCTCCAAGAACCTTTCCTGATGTTCAGCGGACGGAGGCGCAGAGCTTTCTGTTCAAAGACATACTCTGGACACGAAAAGAACTCGGGAATGAGCTCTCGAACATCGCCTCGAATGTCGTGGGAGGCAGACGTGTACGCCCTCTTGATGTCACTGAACAACGTAGAGATTGCGAATCAGATCAGTGCTTTCTTGATCAATACCCGCACGTACATGAATAGACGATCTGGTAGATCCCAATCTCCTCCCTGCAACATAATCAGTACGACTGTAAGAGCAGGATAACGGGTGACAGATCACCTGCAGCGTTTTGAACATATGCGTGAAGGGTTCCATTCGAATCAAGAAATGGCAGACGATCATGGAAGAGCTGAAATGTGTGCCATAGTGGAAGGGCTTCTCTCCTACACTCATCAAGTTCTCGTATCGCGATTGAGCTGCTTCTCTGCGAGCCTCCGTGAGGGCGCCCATAGGCAACGACAGACTGTACAAGATCAGCCGAAAGCTCAACGGATGCGAGCGTTCAGGAACTTACTCGCGGAAAGTCGCTGCGGATGAGAGGTCGAGCTTACTGGACGCATAATCCTGGAGGACCCAAGCTGGAAAAGGTTAACGGGAGCATTGAACATTGCATAAGCCATAGAACTTACGGAAGACAGGATACTGTGTAGCATCACTAGGTGTTCGACCAGAGACTTGATTGAGGATGCTGAGGTATGTGAACTGGTAGCGATATCAGCTTAGGTCTTCTCGGAGGTGTAACATGGCTGACATTCGAGATTTCGCGTGATTGCCATTTCCTTTGGGCAATAGACAGCTCGTCCGAACCGAAACCCGACATCATCTTGACACTGAAGGCAGAAGTTACTTTTGAACTCAGTCGACCAACGAATGGCGACTTCATTATGCCAGCGCTCGCGGGATCTCCACCCGTCCGGCTTATGATGTGTGATAGCCTTCCGGTGATTTCTCTCCGTTGCTTACGATCCACGAATACGACCAGAAGAGAGCGGCTGTCTCGGAAGTAAATCTCCAATCTGCAAGTTAGTGGCCCCCTCAGTGACACGCGGCGAGAGATGGGAACAAGATTGTCTTACGCTACGTCGCGGAAAAGGAAGGTGCGGTCACTGAAGCTCATGATTTGGTCGTGCTGCCTGCATTGCCATGAATAACATAGCTGTCGATGAACGGGAGGCATTTTCTGCTTACCATCGTTGAGCTCTTTGATGACTGTCAAGGTCCATGATGCTTCCCGGGACGAAGAACAACTTTCTAGGGGCGTCATGTGCATCGATCACCTCACCATCGTCGCCCTCGACGAGGCCATCTAGGAGGTAAATGTAACTTCGACCGAAAATGAGTAGTCCAGCTTGCGCGTGAGAGGATGAAATCAGCTATCCTCGAGGGGCAATATTGTGGAGGGGACTCACGGGAGGAATCAACACCAGATATTCGAGCAACAGTTTTGACGGCATCGATGACATCGCCAGGCTCAAGTTCGTGCCGGACTCGACGATGTTTATCCTCGAAGATCTCTTCTCCTAGTTGATCTGCAGAGAGAGACGTCAATACATGCAACGCTTCGACAAATAGGCTCCTCACCATCCATCTCAGCGGAAGATAAATCATACGATTCCGACCAAGGCGGTAGCTCAATCTGCATGACGGATTGAGTGTCGACCTCGAAAGAAACATCGGCAATCTGCTGCTGATCGATTTTGGTATTTGGCATCTTCTCTTCGTCATGCTCCAGCTTCTTTCTGTGAAGCATGAGAAATATGAAGGCAAACCGGGTTATAAAGAGCACTAACCTAACCCGATAAGGCCCTTCAGTCTCGTCCAACCGCCACTGGGGTACGTCGTCAGCCTTCGCCCATAAGCCGCGTTCTGTTGTGAGGACGGTCGCCCACTCCACCAGCGAGGATATTTGCCGGTTGTGCTCGCGCCTGCGACGCCCATAAATGCTCTACTTCTTCGAGCAAGCCGAGAAGCACTCACAGATCTAGCACGGTTTTCCGCAACCGCTTCCTCTCTGTAGCAACGACGGACTTGCGCCACTCGTGTATGCGCACGATCGAACGTTTCACAGCGCTCTCGCCGAGCTGCATACTCAACCTAACAGAGGCCATCCGCCTACGACGCGATTTTGTACCAACAACGGCTGCAGGATCAACGCTCGTCTCTTGTGTGGCGCGGGGGTTCAAGAGGGACTCCGCGGCTTGTAGAACGTCCATGATCTTTGAAGTACATAAGACAGCGCTAAAAGGAGCTTATATGTTCAACACACACCTCCTGTTTCTGGTTGACAGCAACAGCATTGTCCAATGCGATGCTGAGGCCGAGATGCGAGAGCTTCTCGAGCACGCGCACTGTGTCCTGGTCGATCTCGGCAGCGTGCTGCACAGAAATGGAGTACATCTTATACGCATCGATGAAGGACTGTGTGATGGCATGAGACCGAAAGACCTCACGGAACGTAGGGCTGGTGGAATGGGTTTCGATGAGTGCTTCGAGGAGATGCTCCACGTTCGATGTCGCGAGGGCACGAGCTGGAAGAGAGTGAGATCACGTAACAATAGTTTATGAATACATCTTACTCTGGGCATCCTCGGACATTCGACTCGAGTCCAGGCACATCTTGAGTGACGAGAAGATCGCTGGGACGATATATGGGCAGATGACCGTTGGGATGATCTCTTTCTTGTCCCGGCTCCTTCCAAGCAGGACATCGAACGCAGCGTCTTGTACGCTAGCGTCCCATCCATACGGCAGGACCAGCTTCAACACATTCCATCCGCTGATCAACTCAAACTTCCGGCTGAAAGATATAGATATACTAAGAGCAGTAGAGATCATCCGGAGCACGAGCGTCGCCGTCAACGAAGAGGGCCGATCGCCGAGCAATAGAAGACAAATGCGGGTGAGTGGTAGAGCCGCAGTAAATTGGTTGAACATGGCAGGGTTGTCCAACGTCGACACGAGCATCCTGAATACTTGTTCTGCTTTGTACTGAGCGTTCAGATTATCGATTCTAGAGATCACGGAACGAGGGGAGCTAGCACCACCCGTTGCTAGACAGAGGGTCAGTGATAGTCGTCAATAGCCAGAAGATTGATGAGTCTTACGCTCGTGCAAATTGGCAGCCAAGTACGATACGATTGGACGGATAGCCTCGTCGATAGAGAAGTTGGCCTCAGCGACGACCTTCAGAGTCTCCAACAAGAACGGCAGCATGTCGTTCGGGTACCAGTCCGTCTGGAGGACGAACAGTAACTTCCGCACAACGCCCATCTTGCTCATCCGCTGCTTCATGTTGAAGCGCTTGTGCCTGCTGGTCTCCAGAAGCGTGGCGAAATGTTCAAGGTGCACAAGCTGGATCTCTTTCCGAGTTCGTGACCATAGCTGGAAGTCGAGAGCGATGGCTCGGTAAGCGACAGTGTTGGTGATGGTCGAATGGCTAAGAAGCAGGTAAGCCCAGAGCACCAGGCAGATTTCGGCCAGACTTACTCAGGTGAACGGAAGTTCATGCCGAGGAACTCAAATAGAGTCTCAAACCCGGTCATGTTGATCAGCTGGCACTTCTTCCGTAGGATGTCGGTCAAGATGTCATAACCGCCTGTGTCTCATCAGCGTCCAGATCGAACGACCGCCGAATGCGGCACTCACGCATCTGCTCCATGTCCTCAGAATTCTGCCAGCTGTTCCGCAATCCATCCGTCAGGACTCCAAGCGCGCGAGACACCTCGTGTTGGTTCTGTGCAAGTTGCACTAAGCGCAACGCGACAGCAGCGCCTCCGATCTCCCACATAGCGAGGTCCAAGCCGTCAGATCTCGCCACGAAGACGTCGCTGTCTAGCGCAGCGTCATTCGGCTCAGAAGGCACGGTCGAGGGTGAGACTGAGAAGATAATGCTGGCCTCGCTAATTCCCAGCCCGTTCTTGAACGAATTGATCAAATTCTTCACTTCGTGAGCCGATGTCCGAGTCTGCTCCGCCCTCGCATATAAGTGAACGTTGAGCGCGGTCGCTGCTTCATAGGTGAGGAAGCGAATCAAGTCGGTCGCCTGGAATCGGGACACATAACGAGGACTGAGGTCGTGGATTATGCGTGGAAGTTCGTCCGCTATGGAAATGTCGGCCGATGTAAGTCGTGATTCTACGGCTAACTTACCGCTTTACTCACGGAGGGGGACAGAGAAGAGATATGCAGATGCTATGCACCAGTTGAGGCAGGCGCCGGGAGAGGAGTCACCAATTGTGTATGGTCGGTCCACGTTCGCGTCACCCCGCGGGTATGGCCATTGTGCGGAGTCGACCATGTGGCCGTCGACGAACAAGCCTGCAACAGTGGTCAGGTACAGTATGGACAGCGGTGTTGGTGACTACTCACGAATGGTAGGTTTCGAATTACGGTGAGGGTAGTGGACCAGCGCGATGTGCGTCCAACGCCCCTTCGCCAGATTGGCCTTTAGCACCCCAGGGTCTTTGCTCCCTGTGCTCTCAATGTCGAGATTGCCGTCCGAGCGGAGCCTCATAGAAAATATCTTCCGGTCACCAGCAGCTATTGAGAACAAGTTGTGCGTCTTATCCTTCGGTATCTGCTCGATCCACAGCCATAGCTATGATTCTCGTTATTCTGGATATGCGCTTTCAATCTCGATGCGGGCGAACGCACCATGAACGTGAACCCTGTTGACGAAAGTGCTCGTGTGCCATTCCGAGTCACACGAATGGCGGCAGGAGACTCTAGCGAGAAGTGGCCCGGCCACCTGACCTTCATGCCAGCTCGTAGAACCTCAAGCACGTCAGGGTCCAACGTGTCGTCCGGTCGGATAGCGCGCTGGAACATCAGTCTAGCGTCCTCGGTCTCAACGTTGTGATCCAACAGTCGACGGAGCAACTTCTGCACCACTTGTTTCTCCGCTTTTGGCAGCTCCACGCCGCCACATAGCCGTTGGAATAGTGAGCGCACCAAACCAAGACTACTCAGGATGCACTGATTCCGATGTTTGTGCAGAGCCAGCCTCTCCAGCAGCTTCGTGCCCATATACCGCAGCACGGGGTCATCGCGTCCTGGCAGAAGGGCGGCGTCATACAGAATCCAAAGAGCTTCCGGTACGTGGATCAACCTAAGCTTGTCCGTGAACGCCTGGAACTTATGGTCTATGGTCGCGTAGTCGGCCCCTGTTGTGTGCAAGAAGAACCTGCTCCATGCAAAGTCGTGAAGGGCCAAAGACGTCAAGAAGCCCATCGTCTGCTTGACCGTCCGCGCGTCCAAGATCAGGCCCAGCGTTGCTTGCGAGAACGATTCCAAGCCGACTGAGGACTGCGATAGTAGTCATGGTCGTCAGAACGCCGCCAGCCTCACGCGCGAGTCGCGCCCACATGACACATCGCGCGCGCACTCACCTTGAAGTACTCCACGTTGTCGTTGTGCTTGTGCAGGGCTTCAGAGAGAATGAGGAACGTGAGACGCGTCGCCTCGAGGAGCTCCGTGCCAGCACTCTCGCTCCGTGACTTCTGTTCTTGGGTAAACGTCGGATGAATGGTCGAAAGTACGCTCATGAGCACCAGGAAGCCGTCCATTTCTCTGAAGACATCCTTTGTGCACGCATCTTGGAGCATTATTTTGTGGATTTCGGTCAACACCTGCGTGCCCCATCGCGGACATGAACGCCGGTAAACACCACGGCGATAAGTTGACATACCTCGATCCTTTCGGAAAGCGTGTCTGCCGTTTTGAGCCTCTCCGTCGCATTTCGCATCAACTCCACCAACACATCCCGCGCAAAGTCTTCCGGGGCGAGCTCGTCTGGGTCGCTGAACACCTCAGAGCCGGAACTGGCCCGTGGTGAAAGGGGCGAGGGTAGCGAGAATCGCGCGCTCAAGGGGGTGAGGAGGGTGCGAAGCATGACGTGGTCGAGAAAGGGGGGGGAACTACCAGAGGTCGAGCGAGTTCAAGCGTATCGGCGGGTCGTGTGCATCGCTGCCGGACGAGGGCAACGGGAGGTCGTAGAGTGGAGAGTTATCAAGAGTGCCTTGCAGCCACCCGGACACGACCCGCGACAAATCCCTAGCGTGTCGCATCACGTCCACGCCAGGCAACCTGTGCAAACGCCCTGTCCTGATTGCAATTGCGTTTCCTTTCTGTTATCTGTCCTCGGCAATGATGCACCTGCTTTTGATGCTCACTGCACCCTTTGGTCGTCATAATCCACGATGTGTACAACGCTGGTATCAGTGCGCACCGCCGCGACAGGTACTGGACACTACAGGCGCCGATAATGTCGTCGCGTGAATGCCCCCAAGCGCCCATGTGCGTCTGCGCCGCTGCGTCCTGCTTGTTCGTACCACCCGCCACCGCAGACCACGCCCCGGACATGTCTGATCCCGCATCTTTCCTGAGGGTCCCGGACTTTTTGCAAAACCACACTGAGCTCAAGCTTGGGGGGTCACCCTGGCAACAGCCATTGAACCGGTGAGGAATTTCGATTCTATAGGCCTCGGATTCGTCGCTTATAGTAATTATCAACAACGAATACATACTGTATAGCCTGTTGTGTACGAAATCTCCCCATATGACAACCCGCCTGTGGTTGTTAAAGTTCTCAATCCCCAAACCGAAGAGGTGGTCATCGTAGAGAAATTGCAGGACAATATGAAGTCTCCGAACCATGTCATGCCTGGCGAGGTGGTCCGATACGCCACCGCTGCTCTTGATGCCACGCTTATCCGAACTCAACGCTATTTATCTGTATGACGCGCCCTTGACTTTTCTTGTGGATCTCTTTCTTCAGATTCTCGAGGTGCGTACGAAGTGTGCACGTTCGGCCCATTCATTGACACGGTGGTTCAGGGAGTCGAATATCTTCATAGCCGGCAGATTGCACATCTTGTACGTTGATGATCTAGCTGAATTATTGGTCATTCTGACACGCGAGTCCGCGTAGGACTTGTGCACAGGGAATATTCTTGCAGCCGTGGACAAGGACGCAGTTCACGACAAGCGAACTGAGGCGGGAAAGATCTACTTGATCGACTTCCAGATGTCGCGTCAACTCAGGCTACCACCCGGTCAACAACCTGCCATTCTCCTCCCTAAGACGCAAGTCAGGCCACCGGGAGGCATTAAACACTTTGATCCCTATTCCTGGGACGTTTATTGTCTAGGCGATGTCTTCCAACGCAGACTGAAGGTACGGATCGCCGCAGACTTCCCGATCCTGTCGCTGACAATTTTTTACATGGGCATAGGAGTATTGTTTTATGCGTCCCGGGGAACCGTGGATAATCCGTCGATATATCCGGTGGCTGACTGGCACTGAACGTGGCTGCATGGCATCCTGTCACTGCCGTCCGACTGCTCGACGGGCACGTCAGGTACTAACTATGATTCGATGGGTTGTTTCTGTCTCAATGGGCCTTGAAAGACTTGCTACTCTGTTCATATCCGTGTTTAATTGGCATGCCACAGCAGAATAGCCTGGTGGTGTGGTAGTTGTGACAATCTTGTGTCAGTATGTTTGGTACGCACACCCCGAACATCGTTTTACGTGTGTCTTGCGTCCTCCTGCTAACTGATTGGCCATCCGCCAGTGCCGTGCGATCAGACCCACACTGTCCAACAAAGTATAGCCTTCGCATTGCGCGATTGTTATCTGTCAATGCGACAGAATTGCGATGGAGACTCTCTCAGTTCTTGTCCTGACGTTTGCAAGAGCTCAAAGCGACTACTAATCCCAGTGCCATTGGCGAGAGTTACAAGGGGTGAAACAGGAATTCAAATGGGAAGGGAATGCTAGCTCATTCGACTGAAGATCAATAAGCTGCTTGGCCGAGAGCGCTAGATGTTCTATATCATCGCAGAACCGTTACAATACAGAGATAACACAAGATCAGTGGCGTCCTAAACACTGGGAACACCACTCAACGGATTCGCTGTATGCTTCAGACGGTAGTTGCGGGATCTTGAGTCGACTTCGTAACAGTCAATGATGTGGGGAATTTGGCGAAATAGGCTAGGCACCACATGAGTGCGGTTTTGTTCAGATATGGATCCACCTTCGAGGGATAAGAAACCCAGGGTGTGTAGACGTTTGGGGCGATTCCAGGCAGCATGATCCGATACCTGATGTTTGGCAAGGAACCACCAGCGTTTTCGGCGGTGTAGCCAACACGCGCGCGACTTCGAGCACGACGGCACCGTACTGGAAATCTACATTGTATGCATCCATAATGGCGCGGAAGAGTTCGTTGTCGGTCATTTCGTTGACCTTCATACGGAGGAACTGCAGTGCGGCCGAAACTGTGTACTGGATCTCAGATGACATGACTGTTGCCTATAGATGGCCTGTCAGTACTTCAGTCCCGGCGGGCAAGGCGCGATGTAGGGAGGTCCTCACCGATGACAGAAGAAAGAGCAGAAGCCTGAGGAATCGGTGCTGCGCTGTTGTGGTTTATGAATGCCTTCAGAGGACCCCAACAGACAAAGGGTGGCGTGTACTAGGGGATAGTATTGGAGTCAAAAGGCCGAATGCCGCCCCGAATCTTAAACCGTACTGCTCGTTGCCCTGTCCTAACTTAGCCGCACTCATTCGATGTCTGGTTAAGGCGATGCCAAGCTAAGCCTGGCGCCCATGCGAGTAGCCGCAAGCGTCAAGTGTCGTCAAAAGCGACCCGACTTCGACCAGGTGAAAAGGATGCTATCAGGTCTAGGGCTGTGAAAACCCTCCATTATACAATTTCCGAAAACAACAAGCTCATCACCTATAGCAGCAGCTCAGACGAGCGGCGTCGCTTGAGCTCCGCAGGATAAATACTAGCTAGTTCATGAGAGTAAGTATTACGTATCGCGTTTTTTCTAGATGCAAGTACTAGTTCCTGTTGTAGATGGACATGTCTGGAGTTAAGAGAGACGGACAGAGCAAACACACGAATTTATGGGGAGAATGCAGTCGCGAGGAATTGCTCGATCTGCTTCTTGTGGATGGCCTTGCTACCAGTCGCGACGGAACTAGTCGGCTCGCGACCGGCGTAGAGCGGGTACTTGCCCTTGTGGTGCTCGGTCTCGTTGGCGGCAGTCAAGATACGGGGGCCGACATAAGTCCACGCGCCGTTGTTGAGGGGCTCCTCCTGGCACCAGAGAATATCCGCGTTGGGGTACTTGTCAAGATGGGGAGTAAGCTGCGAAACACGAATTAGTGCCATATCACAACCATGACAACGACGAGAAACGGCTTACGAGATCATAGGGGAACGGCGAGATCTGCTCAAGCCTGGAGATGGCGACATCGGTAATACCCTTGTCCTCGCGCTCTTGGAGGAGCGTGTAGTACACCTGGCCGCTACACAAGATATGGCGGCGGATCTGTTCAGGTGCAACCAGGTTCTCCGGGTGGGGCTCGGGGAGGTAGCGCTGGAAGTGGGTGTCGCCGACCATCTCAGGGAGCTCAGAACGCGCCTTGGGATGACGGAGGAGCGACTTCGAGAAGAAGACGACGAGCGGCTTGCGGAAGTCACGGTGGATCTGGCGACGGAGGACGTGGAAGTAGTTCGCAGGTGTCCTGAAGGAAGCAGGAAGTCAGTCGATGAAGGTTTCTAAAGCACACATTAGGGGCCAACGTACGTGGGATAGACGATCTGCATGTTGCAATCCTGATGCTGACGCTCAATCTTCTCCGGCGAGGGAAAGATATGCGGGTGGTCGTCACAGAGCTGGAGGAAGCGCTCAATGCGACCGCTCGAGTGCTCGGGACCTTGGCCGTCGAATCCGTGGGGCATGCTCATGACGAGACCCGTGCGCTGGAGCCACTTGCGCTCGCCAGACGCGATGAACTGGTCAATGATGCACTGCGCGTTGTTCGCGAAGTCACCGAACTGTGCCTCCCAAATGGTGAGCGCATCGGGCGAGACGAGCGAGTAGCCGAGCTCGAAACCGAGACAACCAAACTCAGAGAGGGACGAGTTGCAGACCACGAAGCGAGCCTGGCCCGAGCCGAGATCGTTGAGGGGCACGTACTGCTGCTCGTTCTCCTGATCATGGACGACAGCATGGCGCTGCGAGAACGTCCCACGCTCGACATCCTGACCGGAGAGACGCACGTGGATCTTCTCGAGGGCGAGCGAACCGAATGCAAGAGCCTCAGCAGTGGCCCAATCGATGTTCTTGCCCTCCTCGATGGTCTTCCCGCGGGTGGTCAGGATACGCGCGAGGTTGCGGTGAGGGGTGAAGCCATTCGGGAATGAAGAGATCACCTTGCCAATGTGCTTGAGCGTGTCTTCGTCCGAGCCGGTGGAGCGCGTAGGAAGAGTTCTTTCCGCGAGCTCCTTCGGCGAAGGGAAACCGGGCCAAGAAGCAGATAGCCACTCCTTGCTGGACGGAACGTAGTCCTTCGCGCCAGCAGCAGCCGTCTCGAGCATGCCCCACACCCACTTCTTGTGGTCCTCGATATCCTTCTCAGTGAAGGTACCACGACCGACGAGGAATTGAGTGTACTTCGTCAGAGTAGTCGGCTGCTTCTCGATCGCCTTGTACATGCGCGGCTGTGTGAAGCTCGGCTGGTCGGTTTCGTTGTGGCCATGGCGACGGTAGCAAACGATGTCGATGACGACGTCCTTCTTCCACTTAGCACGCCAATCAGCAGCGAGCTGGCAAACGAAGTTCACCGCCTCCACGTTGTCGCCATTGACGTGGAAGATGGGCGCGTCGATCGCCTTCGCGATATCCGAGGGGTAGGGCGTCGAACGGGCAAAGCGAGGATCAGTCGTGAAACCGATCTGGTTGTTGACAATAAGATGGATGGTTCCTCCGGTACCGTAGTTCGGCAGGTTGTGGAAGCCCATCGTCTCATAGACGACACCCTGACCGGCAAACGCGGCGTCACCGTGGAGCAGGACACCCATCGCAGAGTTGTGCGTCTGCTCATCCTGCTCGAAATGCTGCAGCGCGCGCGTTTTACCAAGTACGACAGGATCCTCTGCCTCCAGATGAGAAGGGTTAGCGACCAGGGACAGCGCAACCTTCTTGCCAGAAGGCGTCGGCCGAACGTAGTTAGCGCCCAGATGGTACTTGACGTCACCAGCAGGGTAGTCATCCTCGCCAGTTCCGGCGAACTCGTTCAGGATGGCCTCGATAGGCTTCCGGATGACGTTCGCAAGGACGTTCAGACGACCACGATGGGGCATGCCGATGGTGACGTGCTTGACACCGTGCTCGACGGAGCGGTCGATGAGGGCCTTCATACCAGGAATGAGGGACTCGCACCCTTCGAGACCGAAACGCTTCTCGTTGGGGTACTTGCTCGCGATGAACCTCTCGAACGAGTCGGACCAGATGAGACGGTCGAGGACCATGCGCTTCTCCTCCACAGTGTAGTTCCACGGCTTCGGGATCTCAACGCGCTCCCGAATCCAGTCGCACTGCTCCTTATCAGGGATGTGAACGTACTGGATACCTACGGCACCACCTATATGCGTGTCAGACGGTATGGGACGGTCTATATGTGACTAGACCTTACAGTAGATGCGTTTGCAGAGCTTGATGATCTCGCCAAGCGACATTGTTTTCCGATCCTCCGTGGCGAAATGGGGTAGGATACCAGGCCCAAGGGTGATCTGCTTGTCAAGGTCGCGCTCCGTAAAACCATAGCGGCTCAATTCGAGCTCTGGAGGATGTGCAGGGTTCAAATCGGGGTCGAGGATACCAAGCGGGTCCAAGTCGGCAACATGGTGACCGCGGACTTGGTATGCGCGAACAAGAAGTTGCACCTGGAGTATTGATTAAGACGCGTCAAGCGACAAAGCCTGGAGCCGTCACATACCTTCAGGTGATCATCCAATTCAGCTCCTCCACTAGCGTGCAAGGCTGGCGCACCATCGGTGGGCGTCGGGACGAGGCTCGGAGGGGGTTGAAAGGCTTTGTAGCTGGGGAGGCCCTTGTCCAAGCCAGAAAAATATACATCCCACGAAGCGTGGACAGACTTGGGATCCTGCCGCCAGAGTCTGTACATCTCCTCGACGTAGTACGTGTTCGTGCCATTCGCGAATGGGTCGTTGGGGGACGGAGGCTGAGCAGCCGTCGCGAGCGAACGACGGGCAACGGCGACGGCCTGGACGCCATAGCGGAAGCGCGAGCCGCTCAAGGGCTGCACGACACGGGGAAGACGAGTGAGCCTGTGCATGGCGAGTAGACCTGCTAGACGTCGCTCGTAGTGGTAGGGAAAGAGGGAGAATGGGGGTCGAGGGCGACGACGTGGACGAGTGGAAAGCTGATGACGAGCAGCGGCCGGTTTTGGCTGGAGGCCATTCGGTGCACTGCGCCGACGCGATCAGCAGCCCTCCGACGCACCGGCGTCTCTCCCTTCCGCTCCTTTCCCTCCCTTTCCTAGCCGGTCCTCGCCCTTTCGCGAATCGCGGCTCATCGATTCTGGTACTGCTCTCATTGAGTAGACTGGTGTTACATGGCATTCGTGTGAGGGTATAGGGCTACACATCTAGAAGTACAGTAGTAGTGTCGTAGACTGTCCTGCGCAAGGCGACCAGAATCACAGTCCTTGGACCAGCCAATCCGAGCATTCCGAAATGCCGCCTAGAGAGCCATAGTGATGCCGATGAGCGTCGGCCAGAAGATGAACACGAATCGGAACTTAAGCCGCTCCAAATCAACTGTCGGCCGTTTGCGGAGCCCTGCAGCCGCCGAGCCCGTCTTGCCGTGAGCCATGTGTTGACCGCCGTCCAGGTTTGAGATCGGGGGAGCAGTCATCGACGGCTCTAGTGTGGTGGGCATAGACTGCGATGTTGACGTTGTAGTTGTTCCCGGAAGGACGACGGTCAGCTTCGGCGTGACGTATGAGATGCTCACGGCACTCTCGTTGTGAGCATCGATTGTGGGTCCATCGAGGGGAGCAAGGCTTGACATGCCTGTAACGGCGAAGTCAGCCGTCCAAACTACGTGGCGAGGCTGCTCGCAAGTGAAACGTATGGTGCTGCATTGCAGAGCTGATCACTGCATGATCTAATCGAATGAATGGTATCACTCACTAATCCGGGCCATTGTACCCCCACGCCGGAGAGATCCAAATGTCGGCCGCGAGGGACTTCGGGTCAACTCCGTCCGCCAGATTCGTGACGTATCTCTGGGTTCCCAGTCCCGTGTAAGCCACCGCTGTCGTACAGCTACCGCATACCCACATCGCCCGCGTATAGATCAACCCTGACCGGGCCCATCGTTTTGACTGACGGTCGCTTCTTGTCATCAGTCCAGCGGAGAGCGTTCAGTCGACCAGCATGCATAACAGAACTCGCCACAGGGAATGTCGGATAGATACTGGCAGACACGGTGCGTAAGATCAGCAGAGTAACCAAGACCAGCCTGAGGAACATTTTCGCAGTATGTCGCCTTCAACTTGGACAGACCCAGCAAGCCGTACTCGCCGCCAAAGGACGAGAAAACGCCGGTCAGTAGTGATGAAGTAGATCCCGGGTCAAAATGTCTGGACGGCGAGCCGTAGTCGCAGGATGGTGAGGATGGAAGGTAAGCGCAAGATGAACCAAGATGTCGTCCTCGGCCGTGACCATAACGAGCGCTTGTAAACGTAACGCGAAACGGGGCGGCGTACTATGTAGCATACAATGTTAGGTTGACCAGTGACGCGGACGACCTCGTAGGCCCCATCCCAGCTAGTCTTGATACTTTGTCCTTCTCGGAAATATTATCTGACTTTGACAGTATGAGAGTCCCGAATTCACGTATATGCTCTTTACCCTCTTTACCTCCCGAATTGCTGCGGTTAATAGGCGACGCGCTCCTCGGTATACAAGAATGGACTGCAGATGAGAACATAGACTCCATCGGGCTGCGAACGCTCCCTGTACTCGCGAGGACGGCTCACTTTCTCTGTGAGCCGGCGTTGGACGCACTCTGGGACACTTTGCCTGACTTTGGCGTCTTGGTATACCTACTACCCCGGGATGCATGGAATATGGAGACTGTGGACGTGTCCCGAGCTCCGCAATCCTTCCATTATGTTGTACGTCAAAATTCCTACTGTATTTACTCAAGCTCTCATCCTTCCTCAGTTCATGACCCGACCTCTAACGGATGAAGAGTTCGGGCGTCTTGCGTATTACACCCCTCGCGTCAAGCGTGTCCAAGAGTTGTGCTCCCTCTTCCCGTCACGTTTTCATGGCTACATCACCTTCGAGACCTCGATCCTCGCAGCACTTGCTTCCCTATGGAGCACGAGCTAGCCTCTTTTCCATAACCTCCGCGTCGTTCGTCTGAATCCCGCACATGACCAGTACAAGCTCTACTATCGATACTTCCACGTTCTTTTCGGGGACCAGCTGCGACATATTTCTAGCGATGCAACCGCCTTCTCGAACTCCAAAGACGTGAAACCAGAATACTATCGGCAGATGCTCATGAGGTTGCAGGAGACCGCGCCGCTTCTCACGCGTTTCGAATTGAAGGTCGACGCCGAGCCGTACTCTCCCATTATCCATTCGGCGATGTATTCCGCCATCTACAGCTTCAAGCATCTCGTCAGCGTTCGCACTGGAGCGTTGCCGATGGACATGCCGACTATCCGTTATCTCGCCGCGCTCCCTCACTTGGAGATCATGGAGATCAGACCGGCGGACAGTATCAGCCCCAGAGACCTCCACTGGCTTGGTACGACTAGGCTCGCAGTTCACTTCCCAAATCCCCGTGAAGTTCATCTCCAACACCACGTAGCCCCGGATCCCCTAGCCACCATTCTACTGCACATTCACTCTGCACGCCTCGAAACCATCCATATCACGGCCGTCACTCAAGATACCCCGATCCCTATGGGCCATGCTCTGCAGTTGCTTTCCGTGGTGCTTTCGCGCAACGGCAGCGCGATCATCAAGCAGCTCCATCTCACTATACCCGTAGACAGGACTAGCGACGTGGCAATGATTGATCAGCACTTCGAGCCGCTTGATAGGCTAGGACACCTGACGCACCTGAGGCTCCAGTTCCACTGTCCAGTCATCGTAACCGAAGCAGCGCTGGCACGGGCAGCAGAAGCATGGCCGAACATCCGCGAGCTCACAATTTATCCATATTTCAACCAGACGGAATCTCTGGTAGAATGTCGCTACTCCCAGCCGATTTACGCCAATCTCGAGCTGGCTTGGCTGACATGATATGCCCCTTGGAGCGATTGGAGGTTGAGATGTCCGAGTCATTGTTCTCAGAACCGCCGATGGAGGTTGCAACATTCCTGCTCGACATATTTCCGAGACTGGAGGGGGTGGCTTCACAATATCCATACGCGTTCTGGCTGACTGTCAACATGGACTGCATCCCGTACTTGGCTCAGCAGCGAGGACGGGAACGGAGGAGGTCATTGGACGGACCCAGCAGCCGATGGTAGCTATATAGCAAGCAGTCCTGGGTTTGATATTCTTCACAGGGAAGTTGCGTATACTGCAGTACGATTTCCGAGCGGCGTAAGGAGTCTATGGTCTCTGTACTGGCAAGGCACCGCAGGCCGCGCCCGGAGGACGATCACACGAACCAGATTCAGTGCACGATCGACGATTATCTAGTGTCCACATAAGGTGCCAAGCTACAGATCGCTCCCACCTCAAAATACCCAACTTCTCCCGCCTTCGACGGCTTGCAGACGGCCTCGCGCGTCTCCTACCAGCACACATGTACCTACGCCCGCGCGCATGCTGATGACGACCGCATCGTGTAATCCTCACCCAACTCTAAGGAAAGTTTGTTGTAAATGCGTCTGCCTCCCTGCACAGAAGCAGCCCTCAGGAGCAGCGGCTCCCCCGCTGGGGAATTGAGCACGGTCCTGTGACCCACGTCCCGAGATAACAGCCATGCCACTCCACCGGGCTCGATGGCGCCTTGTCCGTGTCCCTCGAGCTAAGCCTCGAGGGCACAGGGTGCGTGTAAGTAAAGCAACCTATCCTGATTCCTCCGCCGCCTACCCCATTACTGTACGCGGCCGTGTGGTGCCCGTGCCGGCAGCAGAACAGTGCACTATCGTCCAGCAGAGGGACGTAGTCCCCCCGCGGCCCTTGCGTCTCTCCGTCATGATGCTGCTATACCTCTGTCTCGCGCTCCTCGTGTCTGTTTTTGCTGTGCTCACGGGAGCTGCGGAGCCCTCGCCGCCGATAGTCAGACTGGGCAGCCTCGCAAGGCGGTGCAGCTTCCAGCTCGGGAAGACCGAGTTCAATCTGTGCCCGATCCTGGAAGGGAATGACGGGGGCTGGACTGTCCAGTGGGAGACGAGGACGCCGCCGACTGTCACGAAGACGACTTATAGGATCGACCTTCGCGGGCCGCTCCAGAGGGATGCTGATGTGCCTCGAGAGGAACAGGTTAGTGCGTCTGTTCTGAGTAGATCATGGACTGGCAGGAGTACTGGATTATCATCTCGGCGCGGATTTCATGCGATAGAGAAAGACAAAGGGACTGCTGCACTGCGCGATCATTGCGCTTGTTCCTGGGCTATTGTCTCTGCGAAAGTGGGGGAAGTGATGGTAAGAACTATCACCGCGTCGTATGACTCTTCTCAGGGTCCATGAATCTAGACTATTATGACTGTAGCTCTGCTGAAGTACACCGGGCTGGGGTGAACTGATTGGACATGTTGCTTCCACAGTGCCCAAACGGGACATGGATCTGCCAGACCAGTGAGCGTGTCACTAACCCCTCGCCCGCTGCGCGTGCTCATCGATATATCGCTGCACAGTATCAAACCGTCGGCCGCGCCATGAAGACGAAGAGCTGCGCGTGCTTCAGGTGATTCCTGTCGCTGGCGCGATGAACCTCCCGAACATCACCCGCTATCGCCCAGGCGTGAATGTCACTGCGGAGCTTACGTCTGCGCGCCAAGACCCGAAGAGTAAGTGGCTCTCGTTCATCTCCAAAGGACGCATCCGGTAGGTCTGACAGAGCGCGCTGCGCGCGTAGCTTCGGTACTGCACGTCCGTTTGCACGGCGGATTCTATGTGTACGGGGCACAGAAGGCGGACTTCCAGTTCATCTGCGACCGCAGCGTCGACGAGGTATGATCTCATGGATACGGCCACGTCGCCCAGACCGGTGCTGAGCTTTTCTCACCTGCCAGCCGTCAACACCAACGTACGCCTGGGCATGGAACGGGACGCACACCTTCCAATGGCGCAGCAAGCACGCCTGTGGCTCGCAGCAAGCGACTGCGCCCCCGAAGGAAGCCCCGCCGCCCCCAGACGATACAGACGACTCGGGTGATGATGCGCCTCCGCAGGACGACGAGTCTGACGGACAAGACCTCCGCGAAGGCAATCCCATCATGGGTCGGATGACGCGGACGACGATGGCCCTCCTTCTCTCGTCCTTCACCGCAGTCATCACTCTCGCGTACCTCGCGTGGCGCCCGCCAACGCGCGTACGACAGTACGTGACGAAGTTCATGAAGGCGCATCCGCGGCTAGCGCGATTCCGCGTGGGGGAGCAGGTGCTGATTAGGTGGGCGTACGAAGACTTGGAGATGGACGAGGGATACAGTCCTAGCGAGGAGGATACTATGGTGAACTGGAGCGCGGACGAGGAGGGCTCGGGAGAAGGTATCCCGCTAAAGCCCTCCCCGAGGAAGGGGGGTATGTTGAACTACGGCACAACGTAGGGGCGGCACTGCCAGAGGGCCGAACGGGCAACAGAGATGCCTGATGTTCTATTGCTTCCCGTATATCCGGATGTATTCTGCTGTAGATGCGCGCAGTCAGTGTTCCTAGTCTCTGTGTTTGTATACCTGTTGTAAGCATAGTCCAGCTATGTAGTATAGAAGATATCGCCTCATGATGGGTTTCGGCTTGCTCGGACGCTGCACAGAAGAGATTATAATCCACTCACGGTGTTAGGCTTCAGCGGTATCGCGATGCAATACTGATCTACCCATGTTACACGGTTGCCTTCCCAAGACATGACGCTGCGGTCCTACAATATGCATAGAAGTGATGAAGAAGGGAAGCTAGGTCATGTATCAACCCCAGGCTGCGGTCGTACTGGATTAGTTGGACTGTCAGCGAAACGAATGAAACCGGAATTGGGAGGACGCGCCTATAGTTCACTATTAGATGTCCCTCGGTCGAGAATGACTAGCATTGCACAAAATGAGAAAACAGAGGTCCGGATAGGCAACTCCTCAGGTAACGCACCTTAAACAGATTCGCAACAGTATCGTCCGGTGCTGGTGAGAACGCAAGATTAATGTACGTGAACTAGATATGTCAAGATGTGAGAACCTTCCTAGTCTAGTACCGCACACAGCTGAGCAACTCAGCGTGAAGTAGGAACAGCACATACCAAAGGATCACCCTGTTTCCATCCAAGCTCCTTCCTCAAGAACTGGATGACCGCCTGGAACCTGTTCGACGCAGTGATCTTGTAGAAGTTCTGCTTCATGATCGGCGCGTTGCCTACTGCCTTGAAACGGACCACAACTGCCGCACGGTATGGGCAGTGTAGAATCATGAGAAAGGAGTGCACAGGAGTATATGGCACGAGAAAGTGGGCAGACGAGAATATGTCAATCAAGTACGCAGACGAGCTCGAAAGCGACAGCGACGCACCTTTGTTTGCATCCTTCTTCTTGTAGGTCTCAAGAGCCTCCTGGGCCTCCTGCACGACGTTGCCACCGCTGAACGAGGTCCATGCTGAGGGTAGGTTGCGGGTGTTGGCCTCTGGACTCCCCGGCAGCGCCATGTCCTGATGTCGCCGTCTAGAGCCTTGGTATACCGGCGCCTGCAGTCCGCCCTCATAACGCTTAATGGTGCAGATCGACTTTCGAAGTCCGATTTGGCTCGGCTTCGGGCTTGGTTCGATCCGCGAGCAGCGCCCCAGCACAGCGCTCCTGCCAATAGTAACGACGACTTCTCACTTCGATGTTCCTGTTGCTGGGTGGTTTGATACAGCACTCTCCGATTACTACCTACACTGATGTTACCTCATGACTAGACAGACCAGAATAGTTCTTCGCATGTGCTTTATTTCAGTGCCACGAGGGCTTCGTGTTAGGCACAGCCGGATCTCTGCATCCTCCTCGTCCCGGAGCAGTGCACCGATGATTCAGCGATAAGTGGTGTGGCCTTTGTCCTCGAGGCCGACGACAAACGCCTCAGCGGAATAGCCTAGGCTAGTGCCATCCTTCGCTCGGGGCGCGCCACGGTATATGAAGCCTCGCGGACTCAAATGGGGGAGCCTAAGACTAGTATGGCACGCGTGCTTCCCGCCCGTTCTACAGGTCCGTAATTTTGCTTCCGCATCTGGACTGCGAACCTGTTCACGTTCCCTGATTGAAGCTAGTGCGTAAGGGCGGTGGAGTCCGACTGGGGACCGTCCAACGCCGAAGATTTAAACGTGCGATCTTTAGTAGCAGGACAGGATCAAGATAGATCACGGTCTCGTCTCGAAGCGACGACTTCCGGCACCGCATCCGCTCATCTCACCACTCAGCACTCATGGAGGGGGCAGGTGCTCTTCCGTGATAAGGCACATAAGCGAGTCCCCCCTACAACACAATAAAAACAAAGGGGCGTGCAGATTCGTCAGTCTGTCCTACCCTCTCCCGCCAGTCCTTGTATCTACTAGCTGGCCCTGTTCGATGACTGAGTGCTGACCTTGGCGATGTCCGCCGCCGCCGCTCTCGCATTGCCCTACGATGAGTCGCCAGTCACACTCGTCTCCCATGCAGCTGCAGTAAAGTACGTGCTGAACGCGTGTTCTCTCTAGTGCGAGTCGTGCCTAACACGTTTTGTTCCAATAGAATCCTGACTCGTGAGTAATCTTGCCAACAGCTTGATCACCGAGGAAGGCCCTGATATGCTCATGACGCGTGTCCAGTCGTCGGATTGACCTCCCTTCTTTACGACCATTTCGTTACGGTATACCCCCTCTGCAGTCTAACTTCTCACTCCCGTGCTGAACCTGCACGGCCTTCTTCGCAGCTTCCCAATGAGGTACGCATACATTGTCCGAACGGCAGATGCAATGTCCTCATTGCGCTGACAGGTTACTTTGATATGGCGTGCTCGGAAGGGCGTCGTCTCTACCATCTTTCTGTTGGTACGTCAGGATGCTTCGTTGGGCCGCTGATAATTGACCGTTATCTCAGAACCGCTACATCGTGTAAGTTGCCGCAAGGATCACTTTGGTTGATTAGGTTACCGATGGTCTGTTCACAGCCCCGCTATACTTGCTTTGGATATCTATGGTGAGTGACATGCCATATCAACATCTAAACATACACTCACATCCCGACAGAGACGTTTGGAAATGCCGCTGCTTCCATCCCGGTACTTGTTCTCTGTCAGTCCGAGTTCTTGACATGCTCATACCATGGCACAGTTCTGCAAGGTGTGGACGATAGTGCAAAGTTTCCTGACGATTTCGTCATATATCTCCATCCACGGTATGTTCTTCGCCCTATCGATAGCACGCCCGCAGTTCCTCCACATTGTCTTCTTGCGAGGTCTCACTGATATCACCACCATTCCATACCAGCCATCGTTGCGTGGCGAGTGTATGCCATTTACAACGGTCAACGCTGGGTGTCAAGGCTCCTGTGGATCGGAGGCTCCCTCAACTTTGCCGTCTCGGCAGGTATCACCACGGCATCGCTGATACCCATCATTTGTGAGTGTTATCGTCCGCGCGTCGTATGTCGTGACCTAGCGTATCCTCATGGTGCACATCCATGATCCATTACACTCTAGCCGATCTTCACCCGTTCTACCACTCTTGCGTTGGAAACGTGCGTAATGATGACTGTACGCGTTTGCATTGATGGGCGCTTGGCTGACGATCGGCAACGCAGGTTCCGAATTATATCTGGTCGATTTGGCTTCCTAGGTATCAGATGATATCTCCAATACGTTCTGAGAGAGTGAAGCTGACCGGTCTTCCGAAGCATCATTTTCGAGACACTCCTTTTCGGGCTTACCATCAAGGCCATGTTCCACGAAGGGCAGCGTCGCTCGTTGACCTCCCTCTCTCTCCTTCTCTACCGTGATGGTCGGTCCATTGTAGTCCCCTTCTGAGTCGCGTGCTGATTATAGGGGTACCTTGTCAATAGGGATGTTGTACTTCGTTGCTGTTACATGTGCGTATGTCGAAATTTTCACCCTTGGGCCCGCTGACGTCGCGGAGTAGTCTGCTCTCTCTTCTCCCTTATGGTCTGGGCTCTAGCGGGCCCCGATCTTCTCGGTCTCGCACGATAGTACGTATACTCTCCGCTGTGTCTGTCCACGACTGACCCAGGGTATTGTGCAGCTTCGCGCTCGCCATGGTGAACATCGCCGGTTCGCGGCTCGTCCTCAACCTCAAGGAGTATGCCGCCACCCGCGTCGGCGATACCGACTTGGATTGGGACGAGCCGAGTCGGACTCCCTCACGGGAGGCGGTGCTCCCCATGCCATACTTCACGACAAGCCACGTGCGCTCGGCGGACGGGGAGTCGAGCGAGCTGAACTGCTCGCTCGACCTTGAGTTGTATTCCATCGAGCGGGAGTGCCAGCAACTGGGAACGCGATTACACTAGGTGCGTTGTACGGGAACTGGGGTTCTGAGTGGGCAGTGTACGATGACGAGATTGGGAGCGTGTGGGAATGTAGAAGGAAGAGGCATAGACAATGTTATTTGCGCGTCACGCGCCCCTCGACATCACTTACCTGTACAACTGTATCGTTAGCTTATCCGGTTCGAGCCCTTCGCCACCGTGCTTGGTGAAATCTTTGATGCACCTGTCAGCGGATGACCTAACGTGGAAGGACTGTCATGAGGCAAGCGTAGGTCTGGTCAATAGTGAGCTCCTTATCACTCTGCTTCTTACCTCACTGAGCCTCTAGGTTCCCTGGTCCAATATCTGAACTCACTAGTATGACCTGTCGCCATGGACCGCAACCTCGTCAGTCCGACCCGAGTCGCCATATGTTTGACATGGTGGTGTTGAATCCGCACCACACTTCAGTTGTAAAACGGTGCTCTACGTCCGGCTTCATCAGAATTTCTTTGCCTGGGCCCCCCGTGCCGGAATCGCTAAGTACACGGTCTCGATATCACATATGCAATCGCCAGCTAACACGAAGAACTGGACGAGAATCTCCATTGCGCACCTGGACCGACGGCATCGGACGACGCGACTTAAGTGAACAGGTGAAGGCTGCAGTCATCGGCTTAGCAGACCCGACTGGCAAGTCTCAGAGTAGATGTTCCTCCCCCGGCGTGAATTCACCGACAGACTTGAAGGTAATATACTCCTTTCTTTTTCAGCGTTCACGCTGTCGTGCAACTGTCCAACGCCTACTTGGGCGTTCTTTACCATAACGCCTTTCGGTGCTCGTTGCAAAATAACACACTGGAAAAAGAAATATCTGGATTGAGCGTACTGGACGACATATAAAGCCCTGCGTAGGGACCTCAGCCCTCGCTTTAGTCGGACTCTCCGTTCCCAACCTCTCTCGCCCAGTATCTTGCTATGAAGTTCATTGCTTCTGCAATCATCGCTTTTGCTGCGATCGCACATGCGAACGCTCTCCCCACTGCAGGAGCCGAGACTATGTGAGGTTGTCGCTTTCAACCCGCTCGACTATTGCTTACATTCATCCTATCATGTGTTTCCTATCTCCGGGACGAGGAGATCACTGGTTACGTGCTTCCTATCCAGTAGCTTGCGAACATCACAGGTGAAGAATTTAGTAAATTGCGGAGTAGCTCGAGAGCTGACGGTAAGCGGCGAAGTATTGGCAGGAGATCCCTCCGGGCACTCGTCATTGGCTAGTACGGATTGACTTGTCATTCGAATGTATTGCAAGGTCTTCATCCGATCTGGGGAATGCTCGACGGTGTTCTGCTGCGAGTGGCTCCTCACGACGTTTGATGCCGCGTATTCTGCCTCAGATTGGTACCTCGTACAGCATCTCTTGCTAAAATTGAGATACGGCAGAGGCTGGCGTTTCGAGTGCTTTCCGTCTGATGTGTCGTATTTAGACTCGTGGATTGAAAGATGTGAGAAGCTGAGCCAACTGCGCTGGTGCACTCCCTCAACATGAACTCCGGACTTGGAGATCCAAAGTGACGCGCATGTGATCATACGCGATCGCGACCCGACGCAGGTCTCGCGGCAGTCGCGGTGGCCAGCGACCTCCCTCCTTTGTCCGTTCCGCTCACTCCCGCCGCCGTCCGATACCATGAAACGCCAGAACGACGACAGCGCCGCCCCCGTCCCCGCAAAGAAACCGCGCGCGAACACTGCGCACGCAGCGGCCGTCGCGCTCGTCAACTCCATCCTTGCCAATCCCAAGTCATACCCCATTTCCGGCAACGAGGATGTCGTGCGCAAGTCCCTCGTCGATCTGGCGTCCTACGCGCGCTCCCTGGAGGCGCAGCTCGGTGTCAGCAGCGCCCCAGTCGCTGGAAGCAGCAAGGCGAAGGCGGCGGCCACCGCGGTCGCCGCGAAGCCCGCCAGGTCGCAGGCAGACCTCGAGGTGGCGGCGGAGAAACTGAGAAAGGCAGCTGTCAGCGGCATCAAGAAGCAGATGTCGGTGAGTGACGCGCGCATATACCCGCTCTGTATGCACCCCTCATCCTGTGCCCTATACCGTCGAACGTCACTATGCATAGTGGAAGCCGTCGTGTAAGACCGGGTCTGCGAAGTGGTCCTACGACGGCATCTGCAACGACCCGGAGGTCTTCGGCTGTCTGATGGGTCTCGGCGGCCCTCCGACGTTCAAGATGAAGAAGTTCACCGTAGACGAGTTTGAACGGTGTCTGGGATCTATTCGGGGGTCCGTTCGGTACGCGTTCGCGGTGTACTCGGCTCGTTGCCACATGCTGAGCATCAGGTTGCCGCAGGTATGATACACTCTACATCACCAGCAAGGAAGTGACCGTACGCTGGTCCGATACCGGCGAGTTCAAGTTCAGCGGGTCCTATGGCAAGTGGCAGCCTTCAACTGCCGACTACTAGACATCGGGATGATTGTGCCACATTCTAGTTCACAGGTTATATAGTGCTCATTTAGTTGATGTACATCATTTACTATCCACTTCGATGCCACTGACTATCTCGCGACTGACACTGGTGATCATGCCCAACAAACAAGAGAATGGTCGACGTTCGCTGGGCTGCACCTCACCGACGACATTGTAGTCCAAGCTAGGTCAAAAAAGCTTCATCGGTACATCCATATCCCGCACGTGTAAACATAGACAGTAGGTCGTCCTTCATCTCAGCTCTCTTCGTTCTCGAAGTAGGACGCTGACTCCGACTCGTACTCATCGTCTTCGCGCCCACCCTCCTCCGTGATCCTGCGTCGTTTCACCCGGTCGTGCAACGCAAAGCCCTCCTTCTCAAAGAACGAATCGTTCGCGCGACAAAGCTCTCCATAGAACGCCGGATCGAACTCGATACACTGCAGCTGAACATACGGGACAAGCAGGTCGCCCTTGCCCAGCTTGCTGGCGAGCTGCTCGAAGCTCGAAGCACCGCGCTGCTTCAGTTCGATGTAGGGCTGACGGCAGATGCTCTTCATGTACGCCGCTTTGTTCTGTTCAAGATCGGCAGGTTAGGGTTCGCTGACGACAGCAGCACACGGGAAGACAGTGAGGTGCGTACTGGATGAGATAGCGACTTCCATTCCTCCGGTGTGAGCCATCCGACACCAGCCACGCGATAATACCCGCAGTAGTGGTATCCACCCGATTGAGAGGTGCCCATGAAGACGTGCCGCTCTTCGTCCCGATGAAACATATGCTTCTTGTCGCTGACCGGACGACAGAACCAATACCCGTGCTTTCCAGGCCCGCTCGGTGCCCATGGGTTTTGCTCCATGGTCGGCTTCGAGTAGTTTGTGATTCCGTAGTTCACTGCGAACTCCTTCGCAGAAGCACTTAGCCTAAGCCGTGTTTCGTCAGTGGCATCGCCATGTGCATTCAACCGCTACTCACAACACATGGTGCTTGGAATTTCCGCCCAGGATGGATCTTATTGACATTCCAGTGAAAACCGCAGGCAGACGATGCTTCGGAGGCAGCTCCACGGCAACATCGAGGTACTTTGCTATGGCTGCGGCCCTGTTGTTAGGGAGACGCGAGCCGTAAGCTACGAGTGTCAAATCCATGATCCAAGGCTTCTCGCTCGTGGCAGGTTCTACTGCAGCAGGGCGCTTTCTGGAGGATGCGAGATTGACATGCCTGGTGAAGCTCAGACAAATGAAGGACAAATGCAGAACCGGCTGCTTCACAGATGCGCACATACCTCGGTGATGTGGACGACGAAGCGACTGGTGATAAGTTAGTGAGGACCCTTGCAGACGCAGGCACGTTGGAAGGCTAGACAACAATCTCAGTCATGTAGGTAAGACGTATTGAGCGGACTGACCTGCGTCGAAGCTCCGTAGATAGACTTCTTGACATCGGCGGCATCTGTCTGGACCTGTTTGAGCTTCGCATTGACAATAGTTGAGCATTATGAATATTCAGAAGAGTGCGATCCTGCGTACCTTGAGTTTCAATGACTCTAGTTCCTTCACCATATCAGCTATTTTGTCATCACGTTCCCGTATCTACCCCATCCCCATTTTGTCATTGGCACTGATCATGACGATGAGAAGAGGCGTCACCTTCGCGTCGGCAGACTTTGCTTGCTCGTCCACGATGGACAACAAGCCACGGATAGATTCCTTAAGATCAGCTGCAACAAACACGACGCCCTTTGCCTTCCCCCAAGAATTGACGGCGGCTTGACAATCCTCTCTTAGAATTGACAGCTGCTCGCCCTTCATTGAAGCTGTCCCCATAGCGCGCTGGATGAGTTCGCGATCAGCTATCATGAGCGTGATATTTGTGATCACAAGGGCCAAAAATCCTCGATAGCTTACCGCTTCTGTGGAAGATTGAAGCTGTTGAGTGCGCTTCAGGTGCGATGCAGCAAAACTTCGGAAACATTTCATCAACTGTCTGACGAACTGAGGTCCCGACGATCCTAGCTATACGAGACGGTGTCAGCAGCCATTCTATGAGAAACTATCAGGGCACCTACAACGTTGAGGTCTAGCTTGCCTATCGAGACAGCGTCGCCATTCTTTTCTAGGAGAGTCTCGAGTGTTTGATGAAGTTCCAAACTGTACAAGGTGCTTAGGGTGACAAGCTGGTGGATCGGCGCCATCAGTGATCACACTATTGGGAGAGTCACGGAAAGAAACATTCTCAGGCGCGACATCACCCGCCGTTATAAGCACAGCGTCCTTTAGAGTGTCGGCTTGCTTCTCCGCGAGACTTTGCAGATCTGTGTGAAGGCATCATCCGTCTGATCCTGCCTTGGGTTCAGTAATCACGGAATGAGGGACAATGTGCGACAAACCCACTCGGGCGGGGTGTGTCAGCAGCCGTTACAGGTTGATGCTATCGCCTATGACTGTGGCCAACATTGAGAGCAACTCCACAGGGGTGGCAGGATCCATAAGACCTCCCTATACAGTATTGTGAGGGGCAAAAGTACGACATCGCACCGTTGTACCCACCGCATACCTTTGGACCGATGTTATGCGTCTTCAAGTACTCGGCGTTCAGGGCGAGCAACCGGCGAATATATTTGACGTGGTCTTCGACCCCAGAGGCACCAGAACGCATGTCGAAGTCAGGATCTGATACCGTATCGTATGTAGGATTGGGGAGGGACAAGGGCTTATGGGGCTCATTGATCGCTCAGACATATGGCTTTTATGCGTCCCAGTCCCAGCCCACCTGATCATTCAACCCTTTAGCAGCGTATGACCGTTACGTTAGATGCGGCCCAGAAGTCGAGCGTCGAAAGTCCGAAACGTTATACACGTCAGCGGTGAAGCAGATTATAAGTACTTTTGTGTAACGCAGAAGCCAAGAGCGGGACATACGTTTCCCACTAGAGAATATTATTTCCGACGACGGGGCGGCATGCCGTATAGCAATTCCGCAGAACCTTTATCTTTCCTCTATCTCTTCTAGCGTCATTCAGGCATCTCTCCGCGAATGCTCAGGTTATACGGCCTTGCCACCATTCTCAATGAGTGCCTTGTTGCTCCACGAGCGGCTCATCTTCGATTCCAGTGGGAAGACGCGGTAGGCTGCAAAAATGGAGCGAGAGCACCTACTTGCGGTGATCATCGAGCAATATACTTCCAGTGGATTGGGCTGTCGCTAGACCAAGGTATGCTGCCTATGCCAACAACTATTCATATATGAACACCACAAATTCTCGAGCACCGACCACGCACCCCGGTAATCATCACAGTTCTTTTTCGTCAATCTCCGAGTCAGACTCGGAATTGTCCTCTCCCTGCCACTCGCCCGTAGTCCTACGTCGCTTTCTCGGCCGGGACACAAGCTCAAATCCTACTTCTGCAAAGTATGCATCGTTCGCGCGACAAAGGTCGGCGTAGAACTCAACGTCGAACCGTATACACTGCAGCCGCATGAGAGGCGCGCGGAGAAGTCCTTGATCGAACTTATCGATGACATCATGGGTGCTTTCAGCGTCGTGCTCCTTCAAATAGTCGGGAAGCGGGCAGATGAGCTGTGCGTATCTGACCTTGTGCTGACAAGAAGTGTGCGATGAGGGATGTGATATTCGATCAAAGACTCGTCTGGATACTCACATGGTGGGGCAATGACGACCATTCATCCTTCGTAAGTTTGCCGGAAGGGACGATGCGATAGTACCCGCAGTAATGGTATAAACCCGCGTCAGTGCCCACAAAGACGTGCCGCTTTTCGTTCTCTCTGAACTGGACCCTCCTAGCCTTTGCCGGGCGAAACCAATAGCCATGTTTGCCGGGGCCGGTCGGTGACCACGGATCGCGTTCCATGGTGGTCATAGAGAACTTGGTGATTGAATGCTCTTTCGCAAACTCCGTTGTGGTTGCACCCAGTCTATGGTCAAGGAAAGATAGTATGTCAATCCTTCGGAAGATACGATTTGTGCCGAGTCCGTACTCACGACACATGGTGCTTCTTCTGGTTCCCTCCCAAGATCGCGGCAATGGAACTTCGTGTAAAGACAGAAGGAGACTTATAATCGAGAGGTAATTCGACCATGACATCCGCATACTGAGCGAGCACCGTGGCTCGCTCTTCCGGCATATGAGAACCGTGCGCTGCGAGGTCGACAGTCATGTTCCAAGGCTTCGAGGAATCGACCTGCGCATTCGATGTGCTTCCTGCACCAGCCCAGAGAGGTTTGCGGGGGGAGGCCGAGGCCATTTGCCTGTAGTTATGAGGTTAAAGATGGACATCTAGACTCGCATATGCAACGCACCATGTCGACGTTGATGGGGGACCGAGGGACAAGAGTTCGCCTCCCGGAATGACTTGAAATACCGTAGTAGTCCTTTGGCCATGCGATGGCTAGTAGTAAGTAATGTCAGTCACGATTTCCTTGTATACGACTGATCACCAACATCGAGCTCCAGAACAATCATCAACGTCTTCGCATTGGCGACTTCATGCAGGGCTTGCTGAGCCTGAACAGAGGAGGTGTCTGACCCACCCGGACATCGGAACAATACGTGCTGCGCACCTTCGCTTTTAACGTCTCCACCGTCTGACGTTCCGCAGCGTAGTCTGCCTCCAAAGCTGCAATTCTCTTGTCCCGCTCCTGGACCTGCACACCCGTCAGCACAACGGTCTCCGTCATAATGGGATCGTTCACCTTAGTGTCGATGGACTGCAATCGGCTATCCATCGCAGACAGCAGAACCCAAAGTGAATCGTTTAGATCGCTTGTATGAAGTGCGACCCCGAGTTTCTCCTCCCATAGCTTGATGACCGCTTCGCAGCCCGCGACAATTTTCGACAGCTCCTTGTTCTTCTTAGCAAGAGTATCTGAGATAGCGTCAGTACTGCGGCGCTGTTCAACACGAGACGGTCAGCGTCCAGTAGATCGTGGCCAGCAGACGGGGACATACCGCGTTCGTGCGCGACCTAAGCTCCTCATCGCGCGAGATACGTCTTTCCGCCATGTAGCGGTACAATTGCGCCAGTTGTTTCACGAAGTCGGGTTTCGACATATTCAACTATACGTGTGAGCTGCAGCCTGCCAAAAAAACAGAAGGACGAATTACCACATTGAGGTCGATCTCGTTCTTCAGTGCCAGCTCGGCATTCTTGCGGATGAGTTCTTCGAGCTGAGTAAGCTCCAAGTCAACAGCCCTAAGCGCCGTGGGCTAGCAAACGAATGCTCAGCAGTGCGGCGGCGTGAGCTGGCAGAGGGTGCGGACGAACAGGTTCGTGTGCTGCATCGTCCGCGATGACGACGTCAGTTTCATGAGCAGCGGGGACCTGTTTGCCAGTGCAATTCTCCAAGAAAATGGTCAAGGAATCGTCTACCTGTTCGTCCTCTGGCCTCAGTGTGAGTGTAGAAAGAATCCAGTGGAAGTCACTGACTTGCGGGGAATCTACTTGACGCCCTTGCAGCCTGAGTGTCCCACTGTCACCGCTTACGGCGATCAACATGGAGAGCAGATCATCACGCAACGCAGAATTCGAATCCGTTCCCTGGATAAGGTTCGTCATCAGAGCTGCACCGATGAATGTTAACACATTATGACCAACGCACCTGCGGCCCCATGCCACATTCTTCCACACCTCGTCCGCTCGGTGTAGGAATGGTATCAGAATGCTTGACTCTAGAGGTCTGCACCCGACTGATTGAAGATCCCATGGTAGAACCGTCTCGTGATTGCTATGACGAATCAAGAGAAGGGGAAGGCGTCGGAATGAAGCGACTCACCGGGCAATTATATAGGCCATGAACAAGTCAACCGCAGCACATTAGCACAAAACATCTTCACAAAATGAACGACACGAGTGAGGAAACACGAAGTGGTAATGTCAGCGCAAGCATAGCTCACCGCATTTGGAGGCCGATGGACAAGACAAGTCGTCTGCTGCAGCGGGCGAAGCAGGTGGCACATTCTTTCTAACCTCGACACCTGTCACCAGCGGCATCATCCGAGACTCTAGAACGAACTGAGTACGGTTTTCAACTTTGGGGTTGGTATGGGGAAGCCTCCTGCCTCCTGCGGTCCTCTACAGGCTCGGTGTCGACGTCACAGCAAGAAATACCAGTACTCTCAATGCTCATGGTCTGAGCAGCTCCTGCGGAGGCGTTCGAATTGCGTGGTGATTTCAACACCACACTGCGACAGGTCATCGACATCGACGATTTCGCCCTCGTATGCATTCCGCACACATCTGTCGTCTCGAGCACATCTGCGGCCTTGCCCCTGTGCTACCTTCAAGACGTTCCCCACGAGTCGTCGGGAGCCACCGTCCTGCCCGATGAGTTCTCATCGGTCCACAACGCTACATTCACTCAACGCCAGATGCTTGTTAGCGAGGTTTGGTCCAAATGCACGGCGTAGAATCGGAAGCGCCGAAGACATAGACGTTAGCGCCTGCGGAGGTGCATCCAGGACCCACGTCTGCGAGCATAGGAATACAGAGCCTAACGACTGACCGCACTACGCACATACCATCCCTCCGCCAATAGATCTCAGAGGCCACACCAGACAGAGTCGGGTGATGTCGCAAAAGGATAGGCACTGTCCTCGGCGAACCAGGTACTTTCGAACCGTGAGAGGATTGGAAGAAAGCGTTGCCAGGCCAGACGCGAGCGGACACGACGCAGCGCGCCGAAACACGCCGCTTGCTCCAGTTCTCGCCTCGTGTTCCGAACCATCTTTGTTTGACCCGTTGTACAATGAACCACATTCACTCACCACCGCGCCTGCTCCCTGTTACGCCTCCGGCTCTACACGCGCACACGACCGCAATTGACCAATCATGACACGGCACCGACCCATGCTCTTCTCCGCCGCGTACAGCGAACAGCTCGAACTCGAACACACGCGGCAGCAAACGCAGCGGCACGCGCGACCACAGGTCATCTGGCGAAGGGGATTTCACAGTGAGGGCGGCCAGGCGGGATGGGGCTACTATCTCGAACCAGCCCCCTCAGTTTCGACAACAACGTACAGCACAGCGAGTGAAGATAGCGAAGCCACAGAGAGCACTGCGGCTGAGGACGTCGACCGCGCGCACGAGCAGGCGGGCAGGCGACGGCGAAGGCACGACCGTGGTCAGAAGGACAGACGGTGGGAGTCCAGAACGGCAGACGCGCGAGGCCGGGACGCGGGTCACCATGCACCGACGGAGGGTTTGATCGTGTCGCACGGTTCGTCCTTGTCGTTCCACCCCCACACTCGTCCACCTATCCTTGAACCCTCTAGGACGACGAATAGCAAGGTCAATTGCAGAACGAGCAAGGATGGCAGTCAAGACACACACGCTGATTTCGTTGTGGTACGGCATGAGCCCCTGATCGTCTCCGATGCTATGGGGTGGTTCCAGATTCAGTCGTTCGCTTACACGGCATCCCAGGTTCGCCTTGACGGTACCAGTGATTTTCTGGGATGCGACCTATTGCTTCTTCAGGTGAGTAGGTCCATGTTCAGCTTGCGAGTTTCTCGTTCTGAGAATGGCCGAATATGCCGAATACGTCATGAAGGCCGCGCTCGATGGTGGGCGGCGATCTACACTGGATATGGACACCCTATGCTCTCTATCAAGAGATTGACTATGTTAGTGCGACACATTCCTCGGCACGGCGACTCGCGATAACATGTTCCGTTTCAGGTATATGGATTGAAGGCACTCCAAGAAGGCAGCGGCTTCACCAACGCCCAATGTACGTACTGTCGCATCTCACTTCGCCAATTGTATACGAAACCAATTGCATCCGACCGTCAGCTGCCCTGAACGTTGTCGAGAACTTTATGAACATTGGCTACCTCTATCTCGCGCACGTGACTAAATCCCCCGTCGCTCCCCTCCTCGGGTTCGCGAGCGCTACCATGACCCTCTCGAAGACGGTCCTTTACTGGCTCCAAGAGTATTACTGCGGGGGTTGTGCGGTTGGCCACAACGACTTCAAGACGCTCTTCATCTACTGGATCATCCCCAATGGGTGAGTCGGCCATCTCGTCCGGTCATGCCGTGATTAAGCTACGAGAACGCTTCGCTGACCGGAAACTATGCATGCCCTGTTGCTCGTCCTACCTGATGGCGACTGGACCGGTTTCTGTTGAATCTCCTGCGATTCCGAATTGGCCTGCTCTAGGCTGTGGCTCGTGTTCCCGAGCTACATTCTTTACGTCTTCTGGAACGACATCAGCTCGGCGCTCCATCTCGCGGACAGGGCGACGGCGAAGACGAAGTCAAAGCAGCAGTAGACCGTCGAGAGTGGCCGTAACGGGCGCACGCTAGTGTCTCGCTTGCGATTCTTCAGGGGCCGAGCTATACTCATACCATTGGTTATGCCGGGATGGCTATCTCACGGATGTACGGACGTATTTATCGCGAATGCATGTCGCCGGGAACGCGTGCTTTCAGCTTGGGAATCATGCATTGTCGCGTGCCCGCGCTGTCATTGGACGGTGTGAGCTTCAGAGCAAACTCCTCGGGGTTTACCCAGGCTGACCGCGACGACTGACTAGACGTGCCAGTCGACACGCAATGTCGCGGCAGTAATCGTGCTCAAGGTTGCTGTTCGGAACAACATCGGTATCCGTACGCTGTTAGTGCACGTCAGGATCGAACCCCATTATAAGCGAGAGCACAGGGCTGTCAGGTCGGGCGTCGGGTGAACGTCCGGTCCTAGACGAACAAGACTCTAAGATTCGAACATATCTAATGTTCGCATCTCACCGTAGCCGGCGGTGAAGCTGACGAACAACAATTACACTTCTCCGGTAAATTCGCATTCCGGCCTCGGACATGAAACGCATGAACATTCGATCGGCACCTGCTGTCTGTCAATTCGGCAGGGAACTTTCAGCTGTGGCGATAGGAAGGCTAATATACGTAGATGTACGTTGACGACGAAAGCAATGTTTTTACGCTGCACGTTCGTACCCGTCATGGACTCTAATGACCGAGGTGATTATGTCATTAGCTTCCGGACAGTTTCCTAAGGTTTACTGTATCTCCCGAGTCCCCCGGGCAAGGCAAACGCGCCGCGGCTCGCGACCGGCCAGTCGGAGTTGGCCCGAGCTCCTCCAATGCGGACCGAGGGCCTTTGAACGGCGCATGTCAACTGCAAACGAAGCTTGGAGCGTGTGCTGAAAACTCTGGAAGTTGTATGTTTTGCGCGACATGACTTGCGGCTCCGAATGAAACATCATGACCAGCGGGAAGTATCATGTGCCAGTCGTGCGAAGCCAAGGCGAGGGCGGATCGCATCGAAAAGGAAAGCCAGCACGGTGCTCGCAGGTCTGCTTCGCGCGGCCCTACCGTCATCATTGGGGGGGGGGGGGCTTCGACCAATGGGATCGACACCCGCGACGGGCTCTTGGGAACCACCTACTTTGAAACACGCCTCCCATCGATGTTGGGTAGCTTCTGTCTCTCGTCCTGTGGCAGACACGCGCAATTCAGTGAAGGTGTAGACACATAGCAGCAGCGTCTGTGCCATTTTCCATGCATAGGGCCTCCCACGGGACTACAGCCTCCGAGGCAGCACGACACACAAGCGCGGCAGCCCAGAGAGTAGCCGTGGCTTCGCGAGATAGAGTTGCGCAAACGTACCAGAGCGTCGAGTCCGTTCCCCACTGCCCTGATGGCTGGCCCTGCTCGCGATAGGCTACGCTCGCTGCCCAAATCTGGCCAAATCCCTACAAGCTCCAGGCGACTCTCTGGGCCCGGTCCTCCGGATCAGCGCGAAGTCCACGGTCCCATTTTGCTTGTGCCATCCACACCCGAGGATGTGGCACTGTAAAAAGTTTCGAGGTCTGGGCGCCCATGGCCAGCGAGTCGTCCACAACTTGCCCGAGGGTAACCTACTTACTGCAGATGCCATACCCGCACAACACCCGGGCGCCAGAAATCGCACAGGACGTCGCAATCTTCATGCCTTCCGTCGTCTTCCCGCACGTTCTGCGTCCACGCTCGCCTCCTGGGAGCTCGGAGGAAGCCAAGGACGGTGATGGACGCAGGGGGCGTAATGCGTCCCGGTACGTCTGATTGTCCTTAATCGGACCGTCCTTTGCACGGCTTATCGCGCGGGCGCAGTGGGGCGTGTCGCGTCCCGGGCTCGCGTACTTGGCTTGCGCATGCTTCGCGCGTTCTCGCCGCGTCCAGCGTCCGGAGGACGGTGCGCGAGCCGTGCTCGTACCTGGGGCATGTTAGCCAACGCAGGGTCGCGCGAACGGTGCGTGTGTGCTGTGGCGGCGCACGGGGCAACCTTGACACTGACTCGCCGAGATTGCGTCGCGAATGCCGTCGAGCTACCGGGCAGGCTGCGACGAGAGCCCGTACAAGCTCGCGCTGCAGCCATGACCCGTGCGCGAGAAGACAGACAATTGAGCAGGACAACCTCAAGCTTGGCTCGCAGCTGCCTCCACGACGCCTCCTCCGTGGCCACGCGTCGCACGTTGGTCGGTCGGGGCATCGTCTCCTAGCTTGCCCGTCCGCGAGTCTCCGGGGAGGTGAGCAGAACGCACAATCACGCGCGCCAGCGAGAATACGACTGTGGCCGCGGAAGCTTCCCCAGTCCCATTCGGTGAGAACCGCGGGCTGAATCAGAGAAGCAGCGCAGACCAGGAGGACCGCTCCGATGTTCCTAACGAACGCGTTAGCTGCTGTCTCCCGACAGGCAAGGCCTGATCATCTCCTGCGCAAATGATGCCTACCGGGGAGATCTTGGAACGTGTCTCACCAGCGAGCAGTCCCAAGCAACGGGAGACTATGACGTCCGCAAGCCCGCAGGAAAACCCGCACCGAACACGAGCGAGCCTATAGCCTAGTCTCTAGCCAACGGGGGCCCGTGAAACCGTCGAGACGTGGGTGGAACGCCGCCAGGTGTGGCCATCGCACGCGTCCGCCATAGGCTCCTTGGGCCGGGGCCAGACAAACCATAAACCGCAAGCTGTAGCAGGAGGAAGCATCGGGACCGGGGAGGACATCCGGACGTTGCCAACGGTGGGCGAGCCATATAAGGGTGATCGTCCTAGCGATCACAGAGCCTCAGGCCACATCGTGTCCGTGCTTGGTATCCGCAGCGTGGCTTGCGCGTGCGCGCGCGCGCGTTACGCGAACGCGTACGGGGGCGAGCGACGACGATCCGTGCAGTAAGTACGGCCCTCGGACTTCGCGTCGTTCGTCCGTATGTACCGCTCCAGACGGCCCTCTCGCGTACCTCTCTCGTTGGATCACAGCCCGGTGCCCTAGTCATGACGATGATCATCTCAGTTCTACGGCCTCTACGCGTTTTCCAGCAGTGCTTCTGCGATCGGAGCCCGTGGACCTGGTAAGTAAGCAGCGCGCATCACAAACCGTGTCACCCACGGCGAACAGGGACAACATCGCGGGCTTGCAAAATAGCCTCTGGGGTGCTAGATAAAGTACACGGAGACACAGCTCCCGGTAGCTCGATCGCGCAGGCCACGGCGATACCGCGTTTGGCGTGCCGTCCCCCGAGGTGCAGCATCTGCCAGTGAGCGAGCCACAGTCCGAAGTTATGAGCACGAAGGCGACTGACACACGTAAAATCCCTGTGAGACACCCCGTGCGACGTGCAAAGTGGCGCGGAGGCCCCCTCCTGCTAGGGCGATGATGGTGAGCGCAGAGAGATAGGAGAGAGATAGGATGGCGCGCCGTTGTCCCGACAGGCGAGGAGGACGTTACGGCCTGTGGCTGTGGCTGTGGCTGTGGCTGGACGCGACGACGGGCACGCGAGCACCCTGAACGTGTCGGGCGTGTCCACATCGGAAACAATTGGGCGACGATGGGCCAGACGTGGACGTATCACTCTGGGTGTCGCGGGAGTCTGTGGCGGCCCGCTGCGAGTCACCATGACCAGCGTTGTCCAAGTCGGTCGTCCGGCGACGGTCCGGACATGCCAGCATGCACACATACTTATCGACATCGCTGCGGCGCTGCAGAGACCGCGTCGGAGGGCGAGGACGTCGAAAGACCTCGAAGGGAAGCGTCAGCACGCCGCCCTGCACGGACATACATACATAGAATCCGAACAAACACGCACTCGAATGATGACTGATGAGGCCATCCCCTCGCCCTCGCGCCCGATAAGGCGTGATGAACGCGGGCCCGGCGAGCACTGTATGCACATATATGTATACCGCATACACCTGCCGCGCCTTCGGTATGCAACGCGAACCGCCCCAGGAAGCTTCGTTCTCGAAAAGGACGTGCAGAGAGAGACTCGAGGAGCGCGAGGTACGTCAGAGAGATAAGCACGAGCGAGATCGGAAGGCTCCAAGCTCCCCCTGCCTCCCGATAGCGACACGCATCGTGCAGCGGCGGGGGGCGAGAACGTAAAGGCCGTCCGTCCGGGGCAGTGCGAACACATACCACATATCGAGATCGCCCTCGGGAGCGTCGGATGGGATGGCGCGGGCGGAGCGGGAACTCGAAATCGAGGGTGCTCGACGCGTTATTGTGGACGCGGCGTCGGACTCGCGCGACCCTGCAGCCAGCCTGAGCGAGGACCCCACCATCATGCATCATTCGCCGGGCCCCGACACGGGCAGCGGACAGCGGTGCACTAAGCAGTAATCATATTAGTGCCAGCTAGTGCCCCGCATTGGCCGGGCCCGCAGTGCGATATTGTTCGTGCGTGGAGATGAAGACGCAACCGTCGACGTGATATGAATGCGAGACAAGACGATAACACGACCGAGCTCTGCGCGTTCTGGACTCGAGTCCATGTACTGCGGAGACGCCGCGAAATCATCCCCAAAGGGCGGCGTCGGTGGACGGGCTTGTGACGCGAATAAGTACGGGTGATGCGCGACGAGGGCAATTCAAGTCGTGCAGGGTCGCGGCGGCGCCCTGTGCGGAGGTATCCGTGAGTGGCAAGCGCACGGGACTAACCAATCGCAACCAATCGCGTCTCATTGCGAGTGCGACTGCGCCATGTCGCAGGATCAACTTACTAGCACGCAGCGTTCGACGAGATGCAGAGGAACGAGAACGGGTGCATACTGTATAATGTATCGACGACTAGATGCGGGCGTCCCGCGGTGTGCCGTCCGTGCAAGCCAACTGACACCAGACGAACCAAACGAATGCGATGATTAGAAACCCAACGGCGCCAGCCATATGCGGAGTGTGTACGTGCGGAGCGAGATATAACGTGCAGAAGGCGGGACGGGGACGAAGACCAGAACGAAAGTGAGGGATCATGCGCGAGAGACCGGGGATATGCAGAGGGTGCGAGTGCGAGTGCGAGGGATATCGATGCCGTGGGGGGGAATAAGAGTAGTAGTAGAGAGAGAGGAAACGTCTAGTGATGCAGAGCGAGAGCGAGTGCGTACGGATAGCTTTTGGGCCGTGGAGGTGACAGCGGGCAGTGGTGGAGGTACTGCAAAGTCCCGAGACAGAGAAGGAGAAAATAAATCTATGACGGAGAGGGGTGTCGCTCAGACTTGAATTTTTGTTTTCGTCTAGGGGGGAACGGTGCGTGAGCCGGGCGCTGAGACTGGACGAAGCACAGGCATACGTACGGGCTTCCGCATCATCAGTGGTGGGGAGTTGGAGGAGGGCGAGTACTGCATGGGTTGCGGCTGGAAGACGAAGGACTCGGTGAGACCTCGCGATCACTCTCGGACGACTCAGATGTTACGCACGTGAGGGGCAGCGTATGCGTGGGGCAGGTTGGCATTTGCAGCCGATTTGGACAAAGCTTTTTGCAACTGTCGTGCAATACATGTTTACTACGCGAGCATGAGAGGAGGACGAGAAAAGTGGTTACCTTTGCCTGGCTCTCCGCGTTGTGCTGGGCGAGCATGGTGGGATGTAGCGACAGGCCGTCGATGCTCTTCGCTTGTGGGAGTGACGAGAGGGAGCAGGAGAGGCTCGGGAGAGAGATGAGCTGAGCGGGAGGGATGGACTTTGTAGAGGAAGCCGATGAGTCGGACTTCTGGGTTTGGGACGGCATGGTGGATGGGGGCGCGTGAGACTGGGGACCGGCAGGTGGGGCCGAAGAAGGCGGGTGAGGCTGACAGTCTAGCGAATCGGGCGTGCCACGGGCTGGTAGGACGCGGAGGACGGATGTCTGTCGAGCGAGCGGATGGCGGGGGGTGCGAGGACGATGTGTGTGGTGCAGAGACGCGACCGAGTGATGAGAGAGGGGGAATACGGGGACGCAGAGAGCAACTTTATAGGCGAGAGGGCCCAGACTGGGCAGAGCGCGAGGGCCTATTTCGGCTGCTCACGAACGCGATTGCAATTCGCAGTCCACATCTCCTCCTCCCGATCTCGCCCCCGTCCCCACGCCCAATTATCCACCTCAATCCAGTTTCTTTGCCAGGCGGACGTGGATCGGAGTTTAAATCTGCTCAGACCTCCCCGTTCGGGCATAGCACCGCACCACGCTCGGTTCGCCTGCCGGCAACGCGAGCGACAGGCTGATAAGGCTCGCACGCTGCACAAGCTCCCTGTGCGACTTTGATCTGCCTCCCCGGTGTTCACAAATGGCTGTAGACGGTCGTCTGCACGGTGTGCGTCTGAACATTCGCCTCGAACGTCCCCCAGCCGCGCGAGCATACCCTCAGACCTGTTGTTCTGCTCGTAGACCAGTCGAGCCTCTGCCTCGCGCACGCTCCTTGTCCAGGTGCATCCCAGCGCACAGCAGCGCGAAGCCCCCATCGCGGCGCGTGCGCACTGGGGTCTTCACCTGACGTGTCTGCCAATCGGACAGTTCCCTGCGCTGTATCAGCTCCCCTCGCATCGTGGCCGACCATACCGTTTCGGGCGTTGCGTTCGTCACCCCTGGGTACGACATCCCACCACGTCCTCGCTCTCATCCTCCAGATCACAAGACCGCACGGCGCTCCGTCCTCAATGCAGCCCATCCTCCCCGGCCTCGCATCCAATCCACGTTCATGGGAACCCGGTCTGCGTCACTGATCGCGTTCCTGCTCGTCCACTAGGTCCACTGGCAGACCGGGCTTGCCCATCTGTGTGTCTCAAATTCTGCGGTGTGTCTTCGCTGCCTCCGCGCTCGGCAGCTCAGTTGCTGCATGCTGAGCTGCCCTTCAGGCCGACTGCGGAGGATCGCCCCACTGGACATCCAGACACCGATCTCGAGCTCGACGCCTGCTTCCAGCGGGGTTGCGTTCGTCGACAGGCCAGGCTCTGCCAGCTCTGTCGCAGACCTGTCAGGGTGGCGCCTCGCGAAGACACCCTCCTCCTGCCCGTTGCGTGCTTCCCGCGCCGTCGTCGCCTTCCGCGAAAACGCGATTGTATCTAATCTTGCGCATCACAACGCACGAAGGCTCCCTGAGCGCGAGCGATCCCACAGAGAAGCCGCAGACGACGCGTGCTTCCCCCGTCGTCAAGTTTATCGAACGTCAAGTTTGCGTGCGCGTCTGGCGAGCCCGCATCGCACTCGTCTCTCGCCATCCATCGCGGGCTTCCCTTCCCTTCCCAAGCCCTCCTTCCCAGCGCGGCCGTGCCTCGTTCCCGCAACGTCGCGTCCACCCTCGATATTTCGCCCTCCGCGCTCGTTAGATGTTTGGATGTTTCCTATGGCACAACGAACACGCGACTGCGTCCGAAAGGCCCAGACCGCCTCAGCGTCTTCATGCACGACGCAAATGTACATTATCGCGCGCTCGCCTCCTCTATTCCCCAAGCGCGAGCTCACGGTCATTTCGCCTCCGCCGACGCGAGATCTGCACACACCGGGCTGTCGATGACTGGTCCTTGCCAGCTTCCTGCGGCTCATCCTCAGAAGCCGCGTCGCGGGCCTCGAACTTCTTCCAATGCGCCATCCCAGCCTCTGGCGTCATCGATGCATCGGGCTCCCTCCGATGGCGTCGCCCGCGCCGCCTGCAGCTGTCGTGCCTGTGTCCTCACAGGGCCCATCACCCGCGCTGTTGCGGTGTCGACCGACTGATGCGCGGGCCACGTTGCTTTGAGTTGGGCCTCCGGTCCCGCGCGTTGCCGTCCTCTAAGCTTACTTACCCGGTGGCACGCAACCAACCCCGACAGGAGCGCGCACCCGCGAATGGCACTCGCGCTGCAGTCTGCACCTCGTCCAGCGCGATGCAGGGCGCACGACGGGCTGCGAGCTCGCGGTGGTTTCATTGGGCCGCGCGGGCGCTGACGGTAGCCTGGAGAGCTCTCTCTCTCTCTCGATGCGCGCTCTCCTCCAATAGCTTCCAGCGGGCCCCAGCAGTTCCACCGTGTCGCGCGATCGCACGGCCGTTGTGGTTTTTTTTGCCTCACGCGGCGGTCTGCTGACGGCCCACGCCGCCGCGCCTGTACGGCATGCGAACTCTCTCTGGCCGTCGCTGGACGGTTCGAATGATATAGTTGCCGAAGGGCAGCTGTCGAACAGTGCTCGTGCTACCTACATATCAATATATACGGCACGCCCCACGCACCCCCGCTGCGCGTTTGGCGATATCGACGCCCTTCCGATCGAGCGGGCGCACTTCGACGCGGTTATGTCGGTAGCTATCGTCGCGCTCCCAGCAGCTCGCCCACACATGATCCTGATCCGGGTCCAGTGGCACTTCAAGCTTTCCGACGAATCCGATTTACGCACGCTTTCGTCGCGAACGAACTCTCTCTAGCTCCCGACCTCTCCCGAACGACCGTTAGACTCGCCCCCGCACCCTGAAGCTTCCTCCCCCAGCAACGAACACGAACACGAACACGAACACGAACACGAACACGAATGCGAACGGCCTTCGCGCTCTGCAATCTGCAATCGATGCGCTTCCTGCACGGCACGCCCCCGTCCTCGGCGACCTGCCTGCCCGACGCGGACGTCGCCGCGCTCAGCTGTCCACGCTCTGCCGGCGGCACGGCGGCGCGACTTCTCAGAACCGCACCCTCTTCCCGTGCGTGCCACACCGCCGCTCAGTTCTTGGAGGAGCCCTCCTTACGTCTTACGAGGTGCGGTCGCGATAACGGTCGTGTGCGGTGGTGGCCTGCACGGTCGACGGTGACTATGTACAGTCGATGAACGGTGAACCTCGAGCGTTTTGGACCTCGAAGAGTCGGAAGCAGACGCGTCCGCGAGCGTGATTAGCGTGATATTCGACCGTGGTCACTGTACGCGAGATGCGCTGCACGGGCAAGCCGAATATCCGTCGCAAACCGTATAAACCTGGAATCGGATCGCAGTTCGCCATCGCAAGCTTGAGAGGCTCGCGGAACCAAAAGTCGAACCGTCGACGCGAAACGGCAACAAAACATCTTCCGCCATCGCGTGCCAGAGCTTGTGGCCACGTCGCGGCGCACATGGTGGCGATCAGCCCTGACGGTCTCGCGTGCGTACGACACGCGCGGAAGTATAAAGTTTGAGTGCTGATCGCCTGCAGCGCATCTCGTCGCTCGATGGCCCCCACTGGGCTGCGCGTTGCCATCCTGCAAAATTGACCGTCCATCTCTCTCATCTCTCATGATGCGCCGATGCACCGACAGGGACGACCTCTTTCTCAACATTCAAGTAGTCGAGTATACAACAGGGGCGATGCCACACATGTATGTCGGGTACTCATTCAGCTCGAGACGAGCGCGGCGACGCCAGGGGAAGCCGTCCCACACACCTCCGACGCAGTCACGTCCCCACCTCCGGGTCCCCATGGACTTTCTGGTCGAGAGAGAGCGTTACGCCTGCGGCGTTCGCCGGGCGCGTGCCCCGCGTTTCGCATCGCAAACTATGCATGAGTAAAGCGGTGAGAAAGCGCGAGCGGGAACATGCAAGACATTCCCGCGTGCGGACTGTCAGCAAGCGACCTGCTAGGGTTCGCCATGCGTGGTGCCAGAAGCGGGAAGCTCGGGGGATGTGCTGTGGCCGAGAGAACATAAGCCGCGGTTCGCCAAACTCAATAACGGTCCTGCTGACTCGCGATCGCGCTCACGAGTTCACGGACTCTCAGCGTGTAGACTGCAGCCAGGGCCTCATCTGCCCCTAGGGGTAACGTCATGTCTTTGTCGAGCCTCGGGTCGTGGCATTGATATGACAGCGGAATGAGCTGCAATTAGCGTCGTGTGCGTGCGGCCTTATCTGCGGTCGCCAGCGGATGACTTGATGGTTCAGCAAGATACGATGCCAGGCCGAGCGCTCCGAGGCGGGGGGTGTCGAGATTCGAGTGTTTTGATACAGCGGTGATGAAACATGCGTACAGATTTTCTTCCTGTAAATGACTACTCCCATTGGGTCTCCGACTCGCAACTGAAAGCCTCTTCTCGCAACCTTCTACTACTGTCTATCCCCGGTGGCGGCGCACCCACTGTTACGCCCTCTGCGGACATTGAAGGGTGCCAAGGAGAACGATCACCGCCAGAGGCCGCGAGGCGTCTCCAATGCTACGGCCGCCGCGTCAATCACTCCACAGCCTGGACACCGTCGTACGCAGGTAACCTTCTGCAGGCCTCAGCCCAGTCGATAGAGCCGCTCACGAGTTCGATGACGGTGTCGATGACCTCGTCGATGGAACCAATGAGCTGCCCGGTCGTGTCGCGTTCCCTGCGAGGCAACCCCAAAGCCAATGAGCACATGTCAGGGCGACAAGATAGCAGCCCCCCATTCCCCTGGTGCGGCGGGGCACGACGACGCCACAGCGTGACCGTGCTGATCGCGCAGTCCCGCGGAGAGGACTGGGAACGAGGAAGACTAGAACGCGACACTCACCGGAGGGTCATCGTGCGGTTTTGGACGGCTGGAACATGAGAACGGCGCAGACATGAGCTCTCGGCGGCAAGCAGGTGACGCAGGCGGCTGTAGGACAAGGACGTACAAGCAAAGTCAAGGGTGAGGCCGTAGGGAGTGCCAAGCTCGTCGTTGCGCGCATAGCGCTTGCCGATGGACGTATTAGAGTCGTCGACGCGCGAGAACACGCCAGCCTTGCGCAGTTTCGTCGCTGGGAATGAGGGCGCACGCAATTAGCATTGAGACAGGTAGGAGGAACAGGCGCCGTGTGGGACAAAGGACGGGGCAGGTGACCCAGCCAAGTAGCGAGCAAGAATACACTTACAGACTTCGCGCACAAGCGGGTCAAATTCTGTCTTCGCGCTGAGAGGCACAATCAGAACCTTGGTGGGGGCGACGACAGCCGGCAGGGACAGAACCTGGGAAACAGCGGGGGTAGAACAATCGGGGTCAGCAGGTCGCGGCCATGCGCACAGGGTAGGAGCGAACGAAGAAGGCGCACCCCGCGCTCGACGTCCTGTTCTCGACTCCAGAAGCTGTGCTCGAGCAAGACGTATAGAATGCGGCCTAGACCGAAGGAGGGCTCGATGACGTTCGGTGTAAACTCGCGAACTGCGTAAGGGGACGGATCAGCTGACACTGCGCTCCGCGCGACGGGTGTACGTGCGCGGCTCACTGGATTGTTTGAACGTCTTCTTCTCGATGGTCAGAAGGTCTGGCGTGAGCTTGAATTCCCTGCCATCGGACGAGGTCACGGTCGTCGACCTGCGGAAAAGGGACAAGGTCGTGTGAGCAACGGCAATACAAGCGATAGTCGCCGGGAGTGCATGCAGAACGAGCACTCCTCACCCCTGCGCGAGCTCGCCCTGGAGCTTCGCCAGCAAAGCCTCGTCCAAGCCGCCGACAAGTGTCTGGATCACAGCGGAGTCCTTCCCGAACGTCTGCCCAAACGTCCTCTTGTTGAACTCCGCGACCAGCTTCTCGGTGACGATCGGCTCCTTCAGCGCCTGGCGCACGACGAGCGGGTGCCCCGTCTTCGCCGAGTGCACGGACAGGTCGTACGCCGCGCGGTCCGCGCACCCCACGCACTCCGTCCACCCGTACGAGTTCTGGATCTCGGCGTCCCAGCAGTCCGTCGCGTAGTGCGCCATCTCGTTCGCCATGTGCTGCCGGAAGCGCAGCCGCGCGGGGTCGATCCCGATCTTGAGCAGGAACTGGTTGATGCGCGCGAGGAAGTAGCCCAGCGTCTCGTTCGCGACGACGCCCTTGTCGACCGCGTCGCCGATCGTCATCCGCGTCACGCGCGTGCTGCCCGCCGCCTGCGTGTCGCGGTCAAGCAGATCGAGCGCGACGGCGCGCACGTCCGCGAACCGCTCGTGCCGCTTGTCCTCCGGGTCGACGAAGTGCTCGATCTCGGCCATCGTGAACTCGCGCACGCGGAGGAGCCCCGCGCGCGGGGAGATCTCGTTGCGGAACGAGCGCCCGATCTGCGCGGATGCGAACGGCACGCGGCCGTTGTTGAACTCGAGCAGGCGCGAGAAGTTGAGAAAGTGGCCCTGGGCGGTCTCCGGGCGCAGGAAGCCGGGGTGCTGGCCAGTGGGCCCGATGCTGCTCGCGAACATCAGGTTGAACTGCTGCGGCTCGGACACCTCGTTGCCCGTGTCGGGGTTCGTGATGTTGTGCTTCTTGCAGAGCGCGCCGAGCTCGGGCCCGGAGTAGTTGTCGAGCTGTCAACGGAACGGAACGAGTGTGAGAGCTCCGGGCCTCCGAGGTGGTTCGACGTCCCGCGGACGCGCGGTGGACTGACCTGCGCGAGAATCGTCTCATACTCCACGACCTGCTCGTCCGACAGCTTGACGGGCGCGGCCTTGGCTTTGTCCTTCTTTTTCTTCTTCTTGTCGTCCTCCTTTGCAGGTTGCGCCGCGAGGCCGCGGGCCTCTTTGTCGCCAGCCAATCGTGCCTCCAGGACGTTGCCGACGAGGTGGTCCGCACGGAGGACTTCGCCGGTCTTCAGGTCCTTGACCATCCAGTCGGCGAACCGGGCGACGTGGCCAGACGTCTCGAACACCGGAGCGGGAGTCATGACAGTCGTGTCGACCTCGAGCATGTGCTCTTCGACAATAAAATGCTTCCGCCATTCCGCGATGATATTGCTCTGGAGCGAAGAACCGGGGGGACCGTAGTCGTACAAGCCGGCAACACCTGTTGTGAGCTATGTCAGTAAATGGATGACCACACAATTTGGAGTATCTATACAGAAGATTGAAGCAACAGTATACGCTGTCTCTGATCACATCACCATGCTGGATCGATACACCTCATCTCTGTCCACCAAGTATTCTATAGTGGCCAGGAAGGCAAGTTCGCGCACACACTCCTGCCAGCATAACCAGTGCATGAGTACTCGGCCTCACCGACGCTCATCCCACCAAGAGACTGTGAAACCCATGGCCGACTTAGAGATGCCGACTAATCGTCGGACTATGGCTCACGTCGATCGGTCCAGATTACATGGAGGGTGACGTGGGTAATGAGACATCGTAGATGTCCTCTTTGACGACTTCGAATAGAGGTGGGCCACGTAGCAATGCCGGGGTGGGAGACAGAATGAAGGATAGAGGAGGACAGCAGCTCGACGATGCTACTCGGATCGCAGTCAGATACATAGGATGGCTGGCGAAGAAGAGCAATTGGGGGCAGCGTGCTTTTTGCTCGCGGACGATTGATGATACTCTGAAAGAGGAGGAATGTTGGCCTCAACACTGTGGGCGGTGTCGCCAAAGCAGCTTGTCTTGCTTGTGCACTGCCATGCCGCTGACTATCGTGAAATCGAGCAGGAGACACTGACACAGAGCTGCGGTAGATAGGCTGCGGTAGATAGGCTGCGGTAGATAGGCTGCGGTACACAGACGAGGTGTTGCTTTGGCATCTTCACTATTGTATGGACGAGTTCATCGGGGCCCCCAGACAGACTGCACCGACGGATAGCCTCCTTCAAACTCGCATGTACCACGCGTCGCCAGCCCCAGCTCCAAGCCAGTAATAAAGTGAGGAAGACTTGATGGCTGTTTAGAACACTCACCGCCATAGATCTCAAAAGCGGGTGCGTAAAAGAATCTGCGATTGAGCAAAGCCTCAAACCGAGCCTTGTCGAAGGGATGTGCAGTTTTGTTGACCGGGAGGTTGGCCATGTCTAGCTGAGTGTGTATACGAGTGGGAAGTTGAGTGTGCCTCAAGCCGAGGGGGATGCCAGGGGGAGAGTATGTACAACAAGGACGAGAAAGAAGACGAGGAGCGAGAAACCGCATCCAAGGACCGATCTGGGGACTGACTCGGACCCAAGCAGAGGCTGATCAGGATAAAGCGACGCGTGACCCATTTTTGCCTGCAAGTTACCCTTGTGACGGACGCGTTAGCGTGACGGGCTAAGTGTCGTAAGCCGCGCTGAGCAACACGTTAAGTATGGACTGTTATAAAGTGCTTCTTATCAGGCCCAGGAAGCATCAACACTCGATCAACAACACGGTTACCCGCAGTGGTGATAGTGCAAGGATTTCCTATGCTGGCCTTGCCCACCTCAAGCCAAGCATCGGCAAAATGACTAATCTGAAATTCCAGTTACCCTGGTCACCGCCAAAACGCGTGTACCGCGCTCACCCGTCGCCGTCGATCGGTCTCGACCTCTTACTTATAGCGACTGCCAGTGCACGCGGCTCGTAAGTAGTGTCTTTTACACCCCACTGCAGATCCTTTCACGACGTCTCCCTGCATGCAGCCTAACCTCTGAGTGTTGCTTTCCTGTCGCTCTCTCTCTCCTACATTCTCTTTCCCGGCACCATGGAATCCTCTGCGATGTACGCCGTCGACCCGTTTGCGCCGTCCAGCGGCGGCGGCGCATTCAGAAGGCTCCTCAGTGCGGTGCTCGCCACCGCCGTCTTCCGCTGCTGGCCGCTCCTTCTCTTCTTCTCTGGCTGGGCCGTCGCCGTAACCGTCATCAGTCACAGCGTCCACAGCCTGGCTATCTCGCCGACGCTCCTGACAGTGTGAGTGCTAGCTCTGCTCGGCCTCAGCGCAATGCGCAGTAGTATCGCACACGACCAATTGCTGCTGTCGAAACCTAGTCTCGGTCATCGTCCATGTGATTAACTTCGCTTGTGCAGCATCGGTACCGTGCTCGGTTTCGTCGTATCGTACCGCACGACTGCCAGTTTCGAGCGGTATAATGAGGGACGGAGGCTCTGGTCGCAGATTGTCCTCGGAAGCCGCACTCTCGCGCGCACGATCTGGTTCCATGTCCCCGGTGAGTCGCCTGCCCGCTGTACTATTCAGATGTCGTGCGTCCTGAACGTGTCTATCACATGTCATCGTGTGGTCGAATTGCCGCGCGTGCAGAGACGATGCCTTCCGCCAAAGACGACCCATCGACGCTCGAGCAGCGCAAGGCGCGCGTGCTCATCGAAAAGAAGACCGTGATTAACCTCATCGAGGCCTTCGGCGTCGCCGTCAAGCACTACCTGCGCGGAGAAGAGGGGGTCTACTACGTCGACCTCTACCACCTCGTCAAGTACCTCCCCTCGTACGCCCTCCCCCCGGGCATGCCGTCGCTCGTGGACGTCACCTCCGCTACGTCAGACGGGGCATCCACCCATTCCCCGCTCCGCCACCGCGGCGACAGCTCTGCGCCCTACCCTTCCGACCTGGAGCACGCGACGACGGACTTGCCGCCCCCGTCCCCGGTGAACGCGACGCACCAGACTGGCACACTTCCGTTCCCCGCGACGAGCCCACGCAAAGTCAGCGTGCAGGCCGATCTGCCGATGCCCCGCCTGCAGCTCAACGGCCGCTCGAGGACGATCGACGAGAAGCAGTCGAGGTCGTTTGACGAGAAGGACAAGGCGTCGACGTACTCCGGGAGGGCGGGTGGCGACACCGCGGACTTCCTCTTACCCGCGCGGATGCCCCCGAAGTACCACCTGCTGGACCTCTTCCCGTTCTCGTTGCTGGTCGGGTACCTGACCAAAAGGGGCAAGGAAGTCAAGGTGAGCGGCGCGTCATCGTGTGCGCGTGCGGTGGCTTCCGAAGGCTAAGGCAGTCGACGCTCTTAGGGCAAGAAGGCTGCGCGTGTTCGCGCGAAGCTCCGGAGCCGCACTGTCACGCACAATCTCCCGCTGGAGATCTCGCTGTACCTGGTCAGTAGGATATGACCGTGCGACCGCACGCAACGTTGTTGACGTGGGATGATCGCAGAGCTCGTACATCGCGGCGCTGCAGGACCGGGGTGCGGTGCCTCCGCCCACTGCCAGTGCGTGTCTTGGTGATATCCGTCATGATGAGAGCTTGGCTTACCGTTCGGGATAGCCAACCTGCTCAACGCCCTGAACCAGCTTGTTGATGCGTTGACGGGTCTTGAACGTATCTTGACGACTCCCATCCCGTTCTCGTGCGTCATCCCGACGTGTGATGATGTCCATGTCTGAGCCACTGACCTCGTTTGTTCAGGTACCGAGTTCATTTGTGGACTGTGGCCGTCCTATACTGCCTGCTCCTGGTAAGATTCATGCCAAGCCACCGTAACATAGCGGGTTTAATTATTATTATTACAGCCCTTCCAGATCTGGGCAACCTTCAAGTGGCTGACCATCCCTGCGACCGCGCTGGCGGTACGTAACGCTCTGATTCTGATGCATTCGTCAACAATCGGTGGTTCTGATCCTGCCTTGCATCTGTCATGCGACAGAGCTTCATCTTCTTCGGCTTCTTGGTGGCCGGCGAGGAGATCGAAAGTACGTACGCTCTTGATCGCGCGCAATCGGACTCAATTTAATGCTCGACGAACCTTGCCAGATCCCTTCGGTGAGTTCCCTCTGCCTGTGAAATGCGGAACGGGCATCCGCTGACCACAGTGCGATAACGCCAAGGTTACGACAAAAACGATCTCGTAAGTCTCTCTGCGCATCGTGTCCGTGGCATACAGACAGACACTCACGCCTCTCATTGCCCACCCCGCAGAACCTAGACCACTTCACGCACAACATCATCCGTACGTGTCTCCCGGCATCTCTCGTTACGGCACGTCGCAGGGCGCTGATGGCGTGCGTGTTCTGATCACAGGCAACGAGCTCCGAGCGATCACGGCGCTGCCGGCACCGCACGTCGAGAGCTGGGCGTTCTCGTCGTTCAACGACCAGATCTTCACGAAGGACGAGCGCATCACGCCCGACGAGTGGATGCAGCGCGGCGTCGGGCCTATCCGGTCTGCGCTCGCTACCATGTGAGCTGCGGGCCTTTGGCCTTAGTTGCGGTTTCATTCTTCGGGGAGGGGGGGTGCATTTAGGCGGATGGTGGGGAAAGAAATGAGCGCACGGACTTGGTAAAGCACGCTGCATGCATGCATATACATATTGGATTATTGGAGGGGCCCTGCATTATCTATATTGGGCTCCGTGGCTAGTTGCTCTGCATTTTTCACCATGTTCATGTTGCATTGACGTAGATAATTGGACTCGCATACACACTCACCCGCGCTTTCGTCGTTATTTAGATCGCATATCATTGCAAACCATCATATCCTCTTTGCATTGCATGTCTATGACGGAAGACAAACCGGCGACCGGGTGGACCACAAAGGCGCGTCATGCGCGCACATGTGACCGCGCATCCGGAAATGAAATGGGCGCTTGTATACCCTGTCTAAGCGGTGGTGTTCAGCTCATGAGTCTCAACTCCGTTCCTCCTCTCGACGATGACCGTCCATTCCGCGGATGGCACACATTGTATGGAGGTGGCTCTGCGTGCGCAACGACGGAAGGTGGGTCATGGCCACAACGAGTATATGAACCTTATGTGCTGCTGCCGCAGCATGGTGGTTCCGAGTATCGCAGCATTGGACACTTGGGCTCTCCTTGTATGTTGACCACCTTTCGTATGTGCTCTGCTTGTCTTCCATTCAGGATATGCGCGTCGGTGGTATGGATACCAAGGACGACAGGTGAGTCGGTGAGGTACCAGGACGTTGTAGGAGGATGGTAAGGACGTCCACAATACAGCCCTACTGTCCCTGATGATGACTGACCACTCGATGGAACTAGATTTCGGTCCGCCCGCGACATGCATTGGAGCCGATCATATCCACGAAAGTGCGAAGTCGATTGGGGCCCCGTGTAGATGTACGCTTCTACCCAGGGCCCCCTGTTGCGCGTGCCCGCGCTAGCAAGCGCAGAACATCGAGGGGCGCAAACCTGTTCTACCAAGATCAATCCGACTACACAGGCTCCGAAGTTCCCTCCAGGCGTCCAGCACCAGAAGACGATGCTTGTGGCGCTCGAGGACAATGAAGGGTCGAAACTACGTGCGTATTTTGTCCGTGGGACCATTCTTGGGTCCCTTTATGCTGTCTACTGAACGGTTCCGAACACGTCAAGCTCTGCATGCAGATTGTTTTCCGCGCCTTGTGTGACTCTGGGTGACTTAGAGCAGAGCACAGGACCCATTGTCTAGATGCCGGATCTTCGCCTCCTCTTCCGAGCTCCACTCCCATAGTCTGTCCCACAAAAGGCCTTTCCGGACCTACAACCGATGCAATCCATGGATATCGATCCGGGTGCATGTCCTCCACGATGTCTTTGGCAAGGAAGCCGCGGTGAATCGCCCGGGGCCTGCGGAGCGCAGATTACCAAATGCGCTAGGGGTAGTAGTAAGCGCCGGAAGCTATGCGGGCTGACTCGGCGGTAGTTGGTCTCTCAGACCACTCCTACTTAACCGTCCGCACGACCGCCACGCTCTCTTGTACTTCACCTCTTTTTCTTTCGTTCTGTCTGCCCCTCCGCGTTCAATATTTATGACACAGTCTGTCACCGAATCGTCTATCTCCCCTGGCCCGCTCAGTCCCTTCTCGACGTACTCGGCCGCGAGTGGGATCACTTCCGATGGTGAGGGATCTCCGCAATCGTCCACACGTCCGCTACCATCGTGTCCTGAACGATCGTTCGCAGATGCACCCGACCTTGGCGCATTTGGCCCTGTCTTCCGGGCATTAACCAACCTACAACAGCGCGTGGGACTGAATGGCGTGGACGTGCGAAGTGCCACACCGACCTCCTTCGCCCTGTCCCAGTCCGACGATTCCGACCCGCTCCAAGGACCCTCATTATGGTCTTCGCAGAGGCAAGTCACCACATATCTCACAACTTCATTGCCCGGCAGTCCCGTCCGCGGACGCTCTTCCCTACCCTCTGAGACCGACGACACGGCGTCAGACTACGATGAAGGCACGGAGCTCGAGGTGCCTATAGAGGACGAAGTCACTATAGACCGTCCTTCGCTTGGATACCTCGACGAAGCCTTGACGTATTTGGCCGCTGAGCGGGAGAAACTTGTCGCCAAGCGAGAGCTACGCGGGAACAGCTCGACGACCTCCGATAGTCCTTCTCAGCTTCTCGTGCCCAGTACAGTCCGCCGGAAGAGGCGTCGAAAGCGCACACGCTCAGCACGCAGGGGTGGCATGGAAGACGAGGTACCCATGGAGACAACCACGGGAGGAGTCGATGGGGTTGATGAGGCCAGTGCTGATAACGAAGACGGTGACACCTCTTCCTCCTCCCTTGACCCATCCTCTTCGCCTCCGAGGTACAAGACCATGCCCAGCACACCCGCCGTGTTCCGCAAAGAGAAGCAGAAGCAGCGGGCGCGCGCGGGCCAGAACCCACGCCTGCACCACAGCAGGTCTACACCCAGCCTACACGTTACGACGAAGTCCTTCGACGCCCGCACGATCCAGCTCCGGACTCTAGCACACAAACTCAGATTACTCTTCCCTTCGGAATCCCAGGCACTCGCAGCTGTCCTTTCACGAGACTTCGCTTCGCAATCGACATTTGCCGATCCTCGCGGTCCTGAACCACAAGTCGAGGACACCCTCATCCATGTTTTCATTGATCAGTGCGTCCCTTCATATCGTCTCGCTTCCCTATGTTCCCACGCTCATCTCCCTCTTCATCTCAGCTCGAATATTCTTATCGGATTCATTTCCTATGTCAAGAAGCACCTACATCATGTCGCCCGCAAGATCAAACAGACACACCTATCCCACGCGGCCCTCGCTCTCGTCCTGGAGCGCGGGCGTCCTGTGACGCGGCGCGTGCTCGTCACGTCCTCGCCACTCTACCAGCCCATGCACACTGCTGAGGATCTTGGATATGAGGTGCGCATCTACGCGCGCGTCCCGGACACCGGTGACGGCGCGGACCGTCAGCTACATTCGAGTCCGCATACCCCTGGGCACGCGCGCAACAACAGCCGCGGCCAGAACAATCATGCTAGTGCGGAGGCGGGTCCCTCGCGTGTGGCGAGGGGCCGTCCCCGTGCGTACACGGCGCGCGGGCACGTACACAAGACGTCCGTCGGAGGCGGGAACGGAACGTCGACGGAGTCGGACCAGGGCCCGAATGGGACGTCGGGAAGCAACGCGACACGTGTGCGGTACCGCGAGCAAGGCGTGGACGAATTGCTGCAGCTGAAGCTACACCAGGCAATCGTCGACGTCGACGTCGTCCCCACCGGGGGGACCATCGTGCTCGCGACGGGAGACGGGAACGTGGGTCAGTTCAACGAGGATGGGTTCCTCGGTTGTGTGCGCACAGCGCTGAAGAAGGGCTGGCGCGTCGAGCTTTATGCGTGGGAGGGCGGCTTGAGCCGGGCGTGGTCGCGCGAGTTTGGGGAGAACGAGCGGTTCAAGATCTACATGCTCGACGCGTACGCGTCGGATCTGTTGGAGATCCCGGAGAGCTATACTGGAGGGCATTGACTGCTGAGGGCCCGGGCGCTGACAGCTGGCGTTATGCTTTGAGCCGGGGTTGTCAGTGCGGATATGTGTGTGGACGTTACTTTGTGCTTGGGTGGAGATGAGGATATCCCATCGTGTACGATAGTGTTGCGTGGAGTCGTTGAAGTTTGTCAAAACATCGCTGTGCTGCACAAGGACTCGGTCGTATTGTACTTCATCTATGTACAAATATTTCATACAGCTGGAAGCAAATAATGTGTACGAGTGATTCTCATATATGTCCCAGTGCTCTCCACATAATCATGGCGACCTTGACAATCTCAGATCATGCCATCTAAGGGTGCTTCAGATTGCCAAGCGCGTACACCGGAGGATCGAATCGCTAGCGCTCTCATCGATACACGTTGCACGCGTGTCGCAGAACTTGGCCATCGATGTCTCCCGATCCATTACTATCCTCAAGGTAAGTATGCCTTTCAAAATACTGTTTGTGACCCCGTTTGTCCGCCGTGGTGACTCAGGGTGACTCTCGATCTCTCACAGTGTGCGTCTGGATCCTAAAACGTGTATGATTCGCCCGGTTCTCACAACTATCAATTGGCAATGAGTGGATGCCATCGCGGTATGAGGCCGCCTTCCCTTGCTTTTTAGTCCATTGCGTCTTCCGCTCCCCCCAAGACATAGCTGCCATGGCTACCACCACCACCGGTACACCCCTCACCGAGCACACTGGCTCCTCGTCGAGCTTGAAGCTCCTGTCTCGCTTTAGCTTGCCTCGGACGACCCACTGTCAGCCGATGCGTGCGTTTCTGCTCGCTGGGGGCGAGTGGTTGGTGGCCATCGCAGACCTCAATCCCCGGTATCCGCAAGAGGGTCCAGACTGTACTGGGATTTCCTTATGGGACCTACGCGACCTCTCGAGTCCACGTTGCGTCGCCGAAGCACGCAAACAGGCAGTGCATCGACCATTCGCTGCTGCCGAGGTGGACAAGAAATCCGGCCACGTGAAAGTGCTGCTTGGCTACGACCACCTGGAATGGTAAGACGCATGTCCGTCCCGATGACTCCCCTCCGGATAGTGCTAACAACATCGTTCGGTTATGCAGCGGCCAAGTCGCTGCGTACGATTTCTCATATGAGGCTGCATCCGGAGAACCCAGCCCTATCGTGTATGAGATCCCTTCGCACCCGGACCACGCAGAAGGCAGCTCCTTGATACGTTTGACCAATGGCGGGGACATATTCGCCTGCGTAGTACAGGATTACTCCCGGCTAGAGGAGTTCCGCAATAATCCAGAGGCCCAACTCAAGCCTCTTGTTCCTCCGGCCGGTGTAGATGAAATCTACTTGGTTCACATGCCCACGAATAAGGCACAGTGGCTACATTCCCGACACCTCTCTGTGAGTCGTCTATCGTTGCCATCACATTTTCATCGCAAGTGGACCTGATCATGGACCTGCCTTGGTTCTGACGACAGTCTTTCCACCGTGTCCGGGTATTCATTTGTGACGATCACATATACCTTCTAGGCCGTACACCGACCACTTACGTACTACGCCATTACCGTTTCTCTCCATCAATACTCTTGGATAGCATCGACGACACTCACCTCGATCTTGGGGAGCTCCTGGCCGAGTACGAAAGTCCGCCTCTATCGGACCCAAGCATTCCGTGGGGATCTTGCGACTCCGAAGACGTCTTCCTGGACCCTACATCCCATGCCTCCGTTCTTGCGGCCCGTCACTGGTTCGCAGGAGGTTACTACATCCGCTTTCCTCTCCAGGGAGAGGCGTCCGAAGTGCCGGAGATCGTCAGCCTCGAGCCCGAGACCCATCTGCCTGATAACGCGACCTTCTTCCCGAGGTGGCTCGGGCGCGACCAGGCCTTGATGTACTCCTCAGACGACTGCTTCGCCAACCAGGACAGGCTCTTCCGCCTGTCATTCTCACACTCTGACTTCAAGGGGCGGCAGTCAGTCAGCGGTATCGCTGTGCCTAGGCCGAGCACAGTCAGCCGAGAGGATTTCAGTTGGTTCCCTCTCAGGCAGGAGAATCAACTCATGCTGTTTGGGGACCCAGCTGCTGTCACTTTAGACGAGGAGTCCGGGCGCATCTGCCTTCTTCTTCACTATGGGGAGGGGCTCATCTTATCTCGAAGTTTGTCCGTCTAGGCTTACTTCCTAGCTTTTTGCACGCAATAGAAGCGACGAGAGCCTTGTAGACAATCAGTGCAGTGGTTCTCGTCCGAGCCTTGGATATTGCTATGATCTGTGGGTACGCTTGCCCCAGATCTGCTCCTTGTGAGTCCCTTCCCTGGATCCTGAGTCATCCAAGTCATCTATTTGTGAACGCCAAGCAATATCCGATAATGACGGTGCTTCTACGGCTGTTGACGTCGCTTGCGACAGAGAGATGCGGACGGACCCAGACACATCCCCAACTATATTTCACAATTTGCACCGAGTTCCTGGCTTTGGGCTGGGCGAATCCCACCGATGTCGAAGTCTGCCGGAATGTGACGTTTGCCTTTGCCTGATATTGGTCCCCACAGCTTGCTCGCAGCCGTTGTGCATCGGACGGATGTGATGAGTCTTACCGGCATAGGGCTGCCATGTGCGTTTGTCTATGTTGTGATTATCCGATGCTGACTCCGCATCATCGGGCACACCAGTATGCCTCACTTAATTCCCGGATGATCCGGTCTATAGGACACACAAATGACAGCTTTAGCGTCGGAAATTGATCCTTGCATGTTTCACATGTCATTCCGTTGTATGTGTCGAACGCTAGCTCTAACTTCCATTCAGCAATGAACGTGGTTAACCCAGAGCGAGACATCCATTGATAGCCTATCACCATGCCCACATTTTACTTCTGTCTTCCGCAGGTAAGCCCCCTTTACCAGTCACATATCGATTACTATTGATTCAAGTGAGTCCTTAGGCTGCGTAGCATGACCCCTGCCGACAACCTGTCACCTGAAGTAGGTGAAACAATTCGTGGTCTCGGCTTGAGACAAAGGTCCCATAGAGAGATGGCGAGCTTCTAAGGAACCGCTCATACCGGCGACAGCGGACGAAGGGTCTTTCAGGAATGGACAACAATACACTGAACGACGCGCTTAGGCGTATACGCAACTCTTGGCGCAGCATCGGTACAGGTTTAGCCAGGAAGCTATATAAGTGTCGCCTTGGGCCTCTGAGGTAGATCAGTATATCCAATACTCTCACTTCAACACTCGCAGTCGTTCTCAACAGTCACCATGAAGTTCACTCTCACCGCCGCCTTCGTTTCCACTATCCTGCTCGGTGTCACTGCTCTTCCTCAGCCCGATGCACTCCGCCTCCAGGTACGTGCGATAGTATATCTGACTCGTTCCTATCTAATTTATGACCGCACACAAACAGCGTCGCACTTGCGACTTTCCCACCGTTCCTCTCCTCCGTGCCTACAGTCCCTCCGCCACGGACCACTTCTACACCACCAACGCCTCTGAGATGAAGAATGCGGTGACCAACCTGGGCTTCCATAAAGAAGGCAACGCAGCGATCGTTCATCCCGACCAGACCCCGATCACCATCCCGCTCTACCGCCTCTACAGCCCTTCGGCTACCGACCACTTCTACACTACCTCGGCCGGCGAGCGAGACAATGCCGCCAAGAACCTCGGGTTCGTCAAAGAGGGCATCGCCGCCTACGTGTACGAGACGCAGTTGTGCGATACCGTGCCACTGTATAGGATGTACAGCCCGTCGGCCAAGGACCACTTCTACACGACCAACGCGGCGGAGAAGGACAATGCTGTCAACAAGCTGGGATACACTTACGAAGGGATTGCAGCCTATGTCAACCCTCAGCCCTGAAGTGAGTTTGTGTGGTTGGACCGTAGTCGCGCTCTAACGAGATGTGGATTCCGTAGATCTCTTCGTTTCTATCCCAGCTAGCAACGACATGTGCCGTGACAAACGGTCAGGCTACGTGGACTCGGAGGAGCGCTGGCTTTGAATGTGATGCTAATTATTCTAATTCGTCGCTCCCTTGGACGCTTCATGGTCTACATCTCGATAATCATATTTTGCCTAATTCAGCTGTCTCAGCATCTTGATCATTCGTGCATGAAGAATAGTGAACCCACCCCCCATCTCCGAATGCTTAGAGTCGAGAACTCATAAAGGCCGACGTGGAATGTGCACCTGGAGCATCCAGTACAGCCGGTCATCGGCTTGGACGTCCATCCAAAAAGACAATCTCCTTCCGTCTCCTCAGATGGGAGTGTTCGCTGTGGCGGACCAATATTGCCTTTATGAAATCATCTCTGATTGGGCCGCCGAGATTGTAAGCGCTCTGGTGGTCTCGCATCCAGACGTATGGGTGTTACACCCGCACCCCACCACCGCGGTCACCCAGACGTCTGGGGCAGTTTGATAGAGAGGTCCTACCTCCCCCCTATTTCAAATTCCCGAGCCCGCGTAGATGAGATAGCTTGCGCCCTTACATGTCCAGGCTCCGATTAGCGCCCGTGAGGATTGACCGCGACCGTGTTGTCCAGAAGAAATCACATTGAATGGCAGGGGCACCAACTAATGGAAGGGATGAGCTCTCAATATTGAATTATGTATGAGCAGAAAAGGAGCTCTCTGGACAAACACAGTATTTTCTCGCCTGCAGCTATCAGCTTATAGTCACAAATTCCTGTGGTGCCAAGCAGATTGCCCTGTCACAGGCGCAAAACCCAATGCAAAGCTATCCCTTGGGGGCAATTCACTCACGAGTTCTATCCTCAACACATCTACTGCAATTCATGTCAAAGTGAGGGGTTCTACTACCAGTTCTACAGCTTGCAAGGCGACCGGACTGCTCATCACAGCGCTTGATCATGGAGCCTGGACATGTAAGCGCGCAAGCTATCTCATCT